TAATACAAGGTTATAGTTATCCAAATAGGAAGGTAAATAGGAGCGTAGTGTATGAAGAGTAATGAAAAAATGCATTTTGACAACTATCTACTTTGGTCCCAGAGCCGTATGTCTGCTAAAATCACCTCAAGTGGCTTGGTGCCTAGCGCAACTAGCTATGCTACTTCGCTGTTTGGCAGCATGTTCTATCTCGATTGTGAATTTTGAAGCGATGGATTTATAACTCCCCTCACCCATTGTTGCCTTACATTATTATGTACGTCTGTTATGGAGAGTGATCCAGCTTGGTGCGGAAACATGATTTCCCATCACCAAACCCATTCCAGTTTGGAATTCCGGGCTCACTTCCCACAGCCCGGCCCGGCCCGGCACTAAACAGGTAAGAACCGTTGATCATCGGAGGTTATCCCAAACTTTCTCCAGTCTGTTGTTGGCCCCTAGGGCAAGCTTGGACTCGAAATTTAGTGCAGGGGGAAGGTGCTAGAAAAAAACTCGAAAATATGTACAAATTGAGTGCGTTTCCCGTCTTGGTCAAGCCTGGGATGACTGCGTTCGCTCGTCGCTCTTTCGATGCACACCTGCCATGGGGTATTTTCGTGCCTAGTATTTGTGACATTTGGTGCAATTCTTGCTCTGTCTGGAATATGCCATTAATCCGAACTCGAGAGCAGCAATAGGGGTAGCCGAATCCCCCTCTTGCGATACTCCATATCGACAGAGATCCTGCGGGAACCGAATCTGGCTAGTCAAGACTCTGATAATGACCGATGATTAAGCATCGCGTTAGGTACTGTCTAGGTGCATAATGAGGATAAGAGCCTCGTGCCGAAGGTCACATGGCGTTAAAGGACTATAGCCTTTTACCAATTCCAAATATGCACAGCCATTGCCGACTCGGGGGAGATGGTGAGGCTATCGACTTTGGAGTTTCGCAATATTTACAACCGTGGGCATTTGCCGTGAGTGGCTGCCGTGTCCCAGATAAGCCCCGCCTTTAACGGCAACAGCACGATGACCCAGGTCCGGCAGGCAGATGCATGTGCTAGATGCAGTCCACAGTTCTTGGCGCTTGATTTTCTTTTTTCCTTGGGAGTCAATTCATCCCCTGAACAAAAGGTGATTTAGAAATCTGTCTACTGTTGAAAGTCTACTGTTGAAAGGACATGATATATCTCTGCTGCGGTAGATTTGTATTTAACGTATTTGGTTAGTGTAGCTTCCCAGTATGCGACTGTCTCGCGTGGCTCTCACAGGGGAATATTAACCAATAATAGAGGTTTCATATATACTGTAGTGCAAAGGGAGTATGTGTATCTATTCCTCAGAGCTATGGTCAGTCGGCCAGTTTAAGTCACATCCACGCTTTTTCCTTCCAGTCACATTCAGATCAAATTGTGGTCTTTCCGTGGCCACAAGGGGCATGTACTAGGTGCCATTCAATTTACCACAAGAAACCCGTTTGATTAGATTCGAGCTATCACGCCATAGGGGCACAGGTTTATCGGTGCGACATCTGGATCTGATCCATCTATCACCTAGCTCATCTTTTGATACACTCAGCCATAGATCCTCATTCTGTCCATCAGTTATATCTGTCCAATTGTCAACCATTGCATTCCAAAAGCCCGCCTTCAAGCAAAGATGTCATGCTTCCTCTAAAATCTCACATCAACCATGGGGTATATATACACCAAGTCTACCAAACATAGTACGTAAGCACATAAGCTCTGGGTCGGAGATCGAAGAAGGGGTTCTGAGACCAGCCAATGACACAATTAATGTCCCGTACATTTTGGCGTATCAATGCACGGATCACAACTGCTTTGTGCTACACTCCTCTAGCTCCACTAGACCGAGAACCAGCGTTTACCTCCGGTTCAGCTTGTTGTAGTAGGTGTGATTTCAAATATCAATTCCAAATCACCGTCCACGTGCTGCATGTGCCGCGGTTGACAACAATAATAGCCAGTCGGTGTAGCGTATCCATATAACAACATGCCATACTATGAACAGTTTAACAATCCGAACCTCAAGATTGATGAGCAACTAACCAATTCGGCTAACAGACCGAATACCATAATGCTAGATTATCCAACCTCCAATTAATAATCGACAAACATGGCTAAGCTGCTGACACATTCTATCACTATCCAGCTTATCTATACTACCCAAGTGGCGCGACGAAAAGACTAACGCCGCAACCAGCGCAGGGACGGAAGTTTATTCAAACATATCAAGATAATTAGCCGTTTAGCCTTTATAAAGCACCATCTTGGTTACCTCAAAGGCATGAGGAAGTCATGAGTATGGGGTCATTTAGGATGCAGTGCTGATCACACCATGCGTAGGACGATCTCTTTGGGCTTGATCGGGGAAGAAGAGGGGACTTTCGACAAGTACAAGTTGCCAAATGTGGAAGATCATGAAGGAAGGGAGGGTGTCTGGTGAAAAAGTAGTCAATCTATAATTACCGACGCTTGAACGACTTAGGCTTGAGTGCACTCGGGTAGTCTCAGTCAATAACTATAAATACCCATTACGAATACCTGTCTCATTGACTCCGATAGGATTGTTCTTGGAGACGGACTAGCATCAAAATACCAGCACTCTATTAAACTCCTCAATATGTCGGGGTCACGACAGCAGCCTGGACTGGTGAGACAACAGTCCTCTAGCTCATAAAGTGGCTCTTGGCACTGATATCTTAGGCTTGCGAGGAATGCCGCAAAAAGAAACTTCGCTGCGATAGGCGACGGCCTCAATGTGACCAGTGCGAGGACTCTGGTACGGTGTGTCTTGTGAATCAGATTCGCTCGCCACGGGGCCCCAAGAAGGGGCATCTCAAAGCTTTGCGTAATCGCATTGGTTCGTTGGCAATATGACCTATACACCTTCCTTCACTGCTAATTTGGCTCTTAGCTACGCTGGAAAGCATCATAAATTGTGATCAGAGCAATCTCGGTCCAAATGAAGTATTGGATGGCAGTGAAAAATATCACACCGATGAAACAATTCAAATCCTCAGCCCACCCCAAGAGTATATCCCCAATCCCACGAGCACCGAATTCCATGATATCACCTATTCCATGGAAGCATCAACAATAAACTCACCTATTACTACTACAACAATGAGTCCACCTAATCAGGAAAAGTCAGGTGTAATTGAGGCAGATCTGTACGCAACCCTCACCCTCTAAATCGGGACATATCTAACAGCCAGTGAAGAGATCAACTATATTTCGACAGAGTACACCCTGTCGCGCCGATGCTCCACCAAGGCCGGTACTTTTCCTGGTCGCAGATATTCAACAAACCACCTTCTCACATCTGTCTGCAATTCGCAATGTGGGCACTAGCAGCGGCTTCATCTGCCCATTTACAGCACATGCGGGAGTCTCTCTACGCCCGTGCGCGGTCCGGGATTGAGGCTCTCGACCACGATATTGAATCCAGCAGTGCGCCCTGTCTCCAGGCAGCCCAAACATGGCTACTTCTAACTCACTACGAGTTCCGCTACATGAGCTACCGCCGAGCATGGCTTACCGCAGGACGTGCCTTTCGAATTATCCAACTGGCCAAACTATACGAGATTGATCGTCTCAATGGCAATACCATAAACATGGCACACCCCGAAGCATGGGCCGAGGCCGAGGAAAAGCGACGGACCTACTGGCTGGCATATTGTCTCGACCGCTTCCTCAATATATCTGACGAGTGGCCTCTAAGTCTACACGAGGAAGCAGTGAGAAATTACTCTTTTTTTTTACAGGACGCATCAAATAACTAACATCTACTCCAGCTCTGTATATATCTCCCCGTCTCAGAATCAGATTTCCAACATAGCAGACCAGTTCTTATGGACTCCTTATATGACGAGATTGAGACCTCCGGACAGAAAATGCTACCGCCTTTCGCGGAGACAATCGTCCTGATCACGCTATGCTGGAACAGCGTTGCATTCCAGCGAGCCGGGCACGGTGATAAAACATCTCCGAGCGACGGAGATACCTGGAAGCGCCATACTCGGTTGTACCGAATGGTACAACAGCGGCTGATGCTGATCTCACTCCCCCCGTCTGCGCCCGAACTGCACGACCCTATGCGTCTGTTCACAAACATGCTCGCGAATGCTGCTGTAATATGGTTTTACAACATAATAGAGAACCTGCAGGTGAAAATTGATGATGAGATCATCCTGGTTCCTCTCTACTCTGCGTACGAGATAGTAGGTTTGGCGAAGCCGCTCACCCGGTCCAGCTTTTTCAAGGTGAGACCGTCCCCTTCTGCCCCATGCATTGACCGCGGGTTTTGTGTCTCACGGGGTTGTACAGGCGCACGCGTTTTCGCCCATGCTACTCTATCTTTCGGCAAAGTTTCTCAAGGCACATGCTGATCAACTGAGTACATGTGTCCCCGCGTCGGAGGATAAACAGCAGAAATTGGAGGATTTGAACAAGGCCTTGCGGGTTTTGCAGGGTGGGAATAATTTGGCTACGAGTTACTTGGAGCTGCTTGATTCGGACCCGTTTCAGAGATTGTGCAACCTGTCGAATGTCCACGGATGTACTATGTCTGAAGTCACAGATCAGCCGGTACCACCTTTCTTCTTGGATATTACGAATCTTTTCTAGCTCGACATTCTGATAGCAGGCAGGTCTTTGGTTACCCCCATTCAAATTCTTCTCAGGGGTCATGGATTGGCGTACAGATATAGTGTTCAAGTGTTTGGCGACTTTGAGTCAAATGTCATTCATTACATTTCCATCGTAGGGCGCGAGATGTTGAGAATTCATTTACTTAACAATCATTATGACATTGATCCTCAATTCACTTTGGTTGAAAACCATGCTACTCGCTTTGCGTATATCAAACGATTCGCCGGAATGGCTAGATTCAACTTGGGGTTTTATTGGCCGTTCTTGAGCACGCTACCTACATAGCGTGCTCAGTCATGGAGACGGTCGACGCCAGAGACCTCCCAAAATCAGCTCCAGGCAAATTCAAAGGGAAACAACAACCTTCTGAGCAGACACGCCCCTCATGTGACAATCCATAGCACTTTGAATTTGTTCCAGACCCTTCCCCACAATACGCGGCTTAGGAGCAGCAACAAAAGTCCCACCTGCAAGGGCCTCAGGGAGGAATTCACGATAGATCATCGAGCCAACCTCGGTATGGGCCGCAGAGCTACCGAAAATTGATTTGACTTTCACGCCACGGCGCTTCGACTTGACGAAAACTTTGATGCTGAACCACTTTGAGGCTGCCATAGTATGGAAGAATTGGAAGGTTGTGGTTAGAATTCTTTCCGGGAACGGGAAGCCAGTTTGAGCTACACACTTCGAGCTGTTTGTCTTCGCGAGAATTTTTATGCAAGCTTCAGTCGAGTCATTTCCGATAGCGATGGCGCCGACAACCTTCTTGTCCTTGCAAAGATGGATAATTTGTGGGATGGTTAGCTCGTTGCAGTAATCAAAGACTGCGGAGGCGCCCAGAGTGGTGACATATTCGAAGTTTTCAGGAGAGCAAGTGGTGATAACCTCATATCCAGCTAATGCGGCAAGCTGGATGGCGTTGCAACCGACGCTGGTCGATCCACCCCACACAAGGACTGCTTCTTCGGGGGGCGAATTTGGGGCTGTTCTCAACGAGGTGCCAGGACGATTAAGACAGAGAAACTCCGATTGGAACAAGGCGGTTGCTGCAGTTGATAAACCGAGGGGAACAACGCAATCTTCTTCGTAGGAGAGCCAGTCCGGGATCACCGTAGCCATGTGATCACGGATCACGGTGTAGTGTTGGAAAGCACCTTCGGACGACTTATTGACGGCTGGGTCCATAGAGAGGGCGTGAGCAAGAACCCGATCACCAACCTTAATGTTAGAGACCTTGACACCAACCTGAACGACCTCACCGGCACAATCATTTCCGAGAACAAACGGGTACTTGATCCAGGAGAAGATCTTGTCACCCATCAGCTGTTTGGTCCATTCAACAGAATTAACAGCCACAGCAGCATTCTTGATGACGATCTGATAGGGGCCAGGGGGCGTGTACGGTGCGACACCGACCATGAATGGGCGAGCTGATTTGGCAGTAAGCCACGCAGCCTGGTTAGAAGGATCCTGGATAGTACCACCCGGGACAGTAAGACCCTGGTTAAAGACGAGCTGGTCAGAATTCTGGTCAGAAGACATCGTGACGATGAAGGGGGGAGGGAAGATGGAGAATCAAAAATACCAAAGCTAAATAGACGCGGGTATATAGACACGTGAATATTGAATACGAAGAGCAGAGACAAAAAGAATACAAGTCAAACGTGTTGGACACGATGATAGACAGAGGAAGAGAAAAGAGAAAGAGCGACCCTAGGTAGACCTCACTATACAATGTATGACAACCTGGGAGTCCCTCTATATGGATAAGGCCATTTTGAAGTGTATCAGGGAAGAGTGCATACTCCAAGCCTATGAAGAAAGTCTTAGTTCAGATGGTTTTATCACCGCCCAAATGGAATTGGTAACCAGAGACTCTATATCCCACCAGGACTCACCGATTTCACTCTCAGTACCATTGTTTCTTCCTGCTAATCTCGTTCTTGTTTTGGAGAGACTCCCGGTCTACTGAGCAGAAATAGTAAAGAGGCTGCATTATGATGCGTCTGTGCCAATAGACCCAATCATTACAAGCAACTTGCGTATATTTTTACCATATCGCTATATAATGGAGGTAATGGCGCGGGGCATTCTGTAAGGTTGATATACTTCTAATTAAGCAAGGTGCTAGAGAACATATCCATTACTCTCCCTGATCGCTACCTTGTGTATCTCCAGGTTGTCGTTACCAATCAGATGGCCCAAGTCCAACAAGCTACCTAGGGAACCATGTACCTACCAACCCTGAAATCTTGACACAAAGGCGACAGGATATTAGCCAATCTGGTTATTCTGACCCCAGTAGATTTGTTCTTTGACTCAGTCGGGACGCAGTAAACCAATTGACAACGAATATTCTCTGATGTTCAAATCCACTCCATACATATATAACGCTAGACTGGCCCCAGGGATGGGAACTCCTTTTTGATGGTGTCCTACGCCGACGATAATTTGAGGTCGATTTAGAGAGGACATTTAAAGAGTTGCAGCATATGGCTGTTTCTCTTCTTAAGATGTTCCTTTGTTCCGCTGTCATGGAACCCCACAAGTTGGTTAGTTATATGCAGGTGTCTGCTACCCTGGTAGCCTAGACCCTTGGCAAAATTGTGCGTTATATAGCTTCTTCAAAGAGAGTCTGCCATTGCTGCTCCGAAGAGGAAAGAGAGATACCAGAACAAAGACCATTTGGTGTCACATTTGCACCAGGGGTTCCTCGTATGCACTGACTTTCTTTGTTGATAATGGCGGGAGGAGGCTGTTTGACTTGTTCTTTCTTACAATTCAATATACTTTCCTCGAGGAATAATGGTTTTAATTGGCTCTTTAGAGACTCTCAGACTCTGCACGTTACTTTAAAGAGCACAACTGTGTTTCATATGATTCACTGGCTGCATCAATGCATATTGCCTCCTGGATGTCGCTCTCAGGCATGATATTGGTGGTGGTATTCTTTGGCGATAAGTATAAAGCCGCGCGCTGTTCTCCAAATACCTTCGTCCTCTCAGGCAAATCTACACAAGATGAGATCTTTCCAAAAGGGCATCTTCGTTGCTCTGTGCGGTCTCGGTTTGATTCACGGAACGGTTGCCGTGTCCACAGCTACACCTACAGCCGCATGGACAGTTAGTACCTACTTTCATTACATTACTTTTACCTTATATACTAACTCAACATAGTATAAACCAGTCGCAACAGGATACACCTGCCCCTCCATTATTGTTGGCACTGAGGATACATGTGACAACCTACCTGTCAAGTGTGGTATCTCGGCAGCATCGTTCACTTCGCTCAACCCGAAGATTTCCTGCTCCTCTCTGGCCAAGGGAAAGCCTGTATGCTGTGCTCTGGGGGAACCCGATTACCCACCGAAATCAGGAACTGGGTGGTGCTACACTCATACTGTCCGCAGTGGGGATACCTGCGCGAAAATGGCCGCGGGATACAAGGTCACCACGGCCAACATCGAGACTTGGAATAAGGATACCACGGCATGGTACGGGTGCAATGATCTGCAGGATGGTGGCCAGGTTTGTATCAGCAAGGGCCAGCCCCCAATGCCAGTTGCGATTGGCGATGCGGTCTGTGGTCCCCAAGTGCCTGGAACAGGACGTCCGAGGATGCCGTTCATGATTCCCACTTTAAATCCATGCCCTGCTGGTCAATGTGTAAGCTTTATCAAGATTCGAGTTCGGTCTCGCGGCCTGGACTAACCATATATATAGTGCTCGAGAAAGGGTCAATGCGGTACTGGTGCAGACTTCTGTGGCTCAGCTGCGCTCGCTGTCCCGGCTGGGTCTGCAATGGATGCTTCTGTGCCTACAAACGAAGTTGCTTCTGAGTCTTCAAAAAAAGATGCATCTGAGGCTGCGACGAAAGGGGCATCTGAAGCTGCAAAGAAAGATGCATCTAAAGCTAAATCTGTATCTGCAAGTGATGCTACATCTGCGAAAACGACATCTGCAACACCCAAAGCTACATCCGTGGGAACTATTGCATCCTTGGTAGCCAGATCTCTATCGACATCGACCAAAAACAAGGATCCACATTTCTTCACGACAGATATACCGTTAATAGATGTACCCCTGACATATTTGCACCCGAGCACGACCAAGTCACCTTACCCTCTTGTTGGAACCGAACTAGCCAGTAGATCACGGAACGTGATCGCTCATGTCATGGGCATACGTCGAAATTCTACAACCACCACAGCCATTTCTACTACAAGCATTAGTACTCCCAAGGTCACGTCTGTTACGACAAGCAAGGAAACCACCAAAACCAAAGTCAAAACAACAAAAACCGTCAACGGCATTGCCACCGTACCCAGCGGATGGGAGATGAGGATGTGGGATCAGCCCGGTTGCAAAGGCAACTACGTGGTCCTTCAGGGCCACAACGCTAAGTTGGAAGACAGTGACTGCATGAAGTTCAGCTCCAAGAGTGAGCTCAAAACTGATGTCAACGACGAATCCGTATCGTGTCGTTATATGACTTTACCGGAAAAGGGTGATTGGCAGTGGAGAGATTGTCACGGCATTAATCTGAATAAACCCAAATCGTGGAAGATGTCGAATGGTCTCTGTACCGTCTCTCCTAATACGGAATGTGATCTTTGGAACGACGTTTCCCAAACCTATGGCTGGCGGGGACCAGGTAAATGTCAAGATCGTCAGAGTGTTGATCCTAGTACATTTGGATCATTCAAGTGTTATGTTGGATAGAATGTTGAATAGGATAGTATAGATAATATGACAAGATTACCTGATACCATAAGTCCGAATAGTTTAGGTAGAACGACATGAGCAAAGCCAAGTCTAGCGCTATGACCCTGATGGCCTACATGGGGCTGTGCTCGACATGTTAGCCCCGGTCTTAGAGCCTCAACCCTTTTTATCTCTTCTAATCTCACTCTTTTTTGTTTTTCTCTTTTTTTCTCTTTTCTCCTATAAACCTCCTTTGGAACCCTTTACTTTCCCCCAGTCATGGGTCAGATCGATCATACGTCGCACTCACCTGCTCTCGACGACGCTCCGCCTCCATACACCGATGACCCCGAACCCATCCTCGACTTTGCCCAACCCGACCCTGTCCAACCTCCCACAAGCATCCAACCCCTGCGTCTAATCGGCTCAGCCTATGTTCTCCCTGGCGGCAAAGACGTCAAACCCACCGACAAGGTTTCTCTCACCCTCGAACCAGCGCTCTCGAGCAACTGCGACGAGCTCTACAATGTCATCCACCAACAAATTAACCTGCCGCCCCGCCCGCTACTCTACATCCACGGCACTCACACAGAATCTAGTGATGGCAGAAAGAAAGACAAGAACAACAACACCGTCACGGACTTCAAATTCAAATTGGATCTGGCTGAAACAATGCTGACCGGCTGGGAGGGCGGATACGTGAGCCAGGACTGGAAGGACTGGAAGGATACGGAAATACTCACAGATGAGGACCTCAAACCCGCGTATCGGGGAGGAATCTTTCGCTCGCGAACGTACAAGCCGCCCAAGTCGTGTGCAGCTATCGGTCGCGGGGGAGACACCGATGCCCTCCTGTACCGAGATAACGCCGACGAGCTGGATAACAACTCTCCAGATGCGGGAAACCTGAAGATGTGGTGTGAGCGGTTCTGCCACGACCCTGCTTCTGTGAAATCGTATGCTCTACCCCTAACTCGCACGCAAAATACACTGCTAACCTATTCACCCACAGATTTACTCTGCACCGACAAGTCGCTGGCTTTGATTACAACGCTATGAATAACGTCCTATCCTCCCACATCCGCGAACTCAACTACCGCGGCTCCATAAACTTCAGCGTCTTCACTGCCCACCGCTCCGTTACAATCTACTCTCCGCACTGGATCAACCGGCTCCGCGCGAACCGCTGCGTCTGGTGGGTTGTCGTCCTTCTCCAGCTCTGGATTATTACTTGGCCGGTTATCTTCTTTATGGAGAAGAGATACGAGGTCGTCCATACTCGGTGGCATGCGTCGCTTAAACCAGAGCCTGACTCTCTGCTGGTCAACTGCTATCCGTTTGGTCGTAATGAGTCTTCTCTAGCGGAGTACTGGGCTCCGGCTGTCAAGCAGGCGGCGTGGACTCGGAGGCATGGCGAAGGTGATGTTTTGACCAGGATGGATGCGGATCGCTTGCAGGGGTACAGGACGCCGGTCTCCCTGCTTAGTCTTCATGCTTCTAGTTCGGAGACTGAGCTCGAGCGCCGACGGCGGGTTAATAGTGGTCAGGCTGGGCTCGTTGATAATGTTGTAGGTCTGGTAAGAGGGATCGGAGAAGTTTGGGAGGATTGGAGGTTGTCCGATGGGTGGGGTGCTAACACTTAATTTACGGGTCTGTTCTGATTTGATATTGCTTGGGTCTACAATGTGGCTGATAAATGCTGTCTCTCCGAAACTTGACCTCGTTTATAGCACTGGAGATAACTCTGGCGGTATGGGTGCCTAATTAAGTCACCCGCTTGAAGTCCTCCGGTGCTAACGAGGTGTCAGTCGATCCTTTTGGAATTTTCACTTTGCTCGATACGATATCCCTCTTGAACTCGATTCAACTACTTTTACCCATGGATATTACCTACATGGGGATCTATGAGTTCTCCAGGGCTTGAACTTCAGGGACATTTTGTCTTATGTAAAGTAGGGTTTCATCCCCAGGTGACATGGTTGACATCGGGAATGTCCTACATCCACATAAGTTGGTTGTTGATCACCATATCTGATGCTGGATCTCGAATCAAACGCAAGCAAGAAAGGGTCTCTATTGAGTTTCTTTCTCATGCCGTCGGCGAGAGCAGTAATGACCTCGATATGAACTCTGGAAGATTGAAGTAACTCTCAACGTCTTTACTGACTTGCCGTTGGGGGTCGACCTTTTTTTATCCTGAGTTCATTGCCGCACTCGGTTCCTGGTTTCAAGCTAAATTTAGCCAAACATCAGACACTGCTTTGTTCGCATAATGTAATACTCATTCATCATGCGCTTAGTATCAAGGACGTGCATTTGACCCACATGCTTTGCCTCGATTCTCTTTGTTCTATTGTTACATCACTTGTTCAGCCCCCTAATCCCGTGGTCCTTCAAGTGTCTATACATACTAATTGTTTGGTCTGTTTCATCTTAAGATAGATCAGACGCAAGCATTGACTCGATCATGCAATGACCTCTCTTAGAACGGCCCTTTGTCCAGGTCTATATAATACCTGCTTGTTCCAGCATCTAGGTAGACCAGTCAATTGTATCAATTCCCAAATCACACGATCAGAAACACTCCAGGACTTCCAAATCCACATATATTTTCATTTGATATTTTCAGCACCATGTCCGAACCTACCTCTTCTCCAATCAAGAGAATCATCAATCGCTTCCGCCGTGGTAGCGGTCACGCTGACGGTGGAGATGATACCGAAGTACCTCCACCCGCCACTCCCAAGAAAAAGGACCGAAAGCGTAAAGGCGACAACGGTGACGACGACCCATCGCCTCCGGCTGCCAAACGACCTGCCACTGGGCCATCGGGACTCGAAAGAGCTCGACGTAAGTTAACGTCCAGGGCATCAAAGGGCACATCAACACATCAGAATCCGTCATCAGTGGATCCCGATCCAGAGACCGAGGAATATCCCGAGCCAGGCCTCCCCACATTGCCTACCACTCCCAGAAACGCAAGGGCGATCGCCGGTAGGGTTAGTGCGAGTATGAACCCAGACCAACTTCACCTACTAGACAGAACACCCACGAGAAAGATGATCAACGAATATCGAGCGGAAGGGGCTAGATTTGAAAATTGGATGGCCAACGCTAACCTAGCTGAGCCTCGATGCCCAGTGGTCCAGGCTACCGTGACCATGTTCAACTTAACCAACGCCGATGCCCCCAATGAGCCAGAATTTCATGTATGGGACTCTGAGTCGGTTGTCCCACCGAAGGAAATCAGAGATGGTCTTGAATCGACAAATCTCCCAAAGGATAGGAGAAGGAAGACCTGGATTCGTACAAAATTACATCGCAATAAATTAATCAACGTCTCGGACTACGAGCATTACATCGTGCCAGGTGCTATCGTTGCTAGCAATATTTACAGAAGGAATAGGGGAACCCATTGGGCTGACATTGCTATTGCTTTATACAAAGATGTGGCCGCAATCGACACTCTCCGATATGTTTTCTACGCAACTGTTGAGAATGTAGAGACCCTTCCACTGGTGGGAAGGGTGCTCTACCCAAACAATAATCTCCCCGGTCCCAAGAGTAAAGCTTCACCCCCGCCAATCGAGACTTGGTATTTGGGTACTCCTGGATTCCGGGAAATCCTGGGATCACAATTAGGAAGAGCCACGGCGCGTCTTGTTCTAGCCGCCTGGCCACGAGGTACGCATCAGATCCCTAGAATCCATACTTGGTTTATGAGCGGTGATCTACATATGCGGTTCGATATTGAGCCTACTGTACAGGGAGGCAAGGCGGGGAGGAAACCAAGCCTATTTGATTCGCCGACTGGGAAAGGGAAAGAGAAGGGAAAGAAACCAGGCTCGTTTGACTCGACTGGGAAAGGGAAAGGGAAAGAAAGGAGGAGCAGCTAGGTGAGGAGCAGAGGTTAATAAGGCTAACACCTGTTGATTCAGCTGCTGCATCGGCGTGATTCCTTTTTGCAGGCTATCATAAGATGTGAAGTAGTTGGCTATGCGGAAAGTCTCTAAAGTCTGCCTAGTTAATTTATAAGTCCTCGATTTGCATATTGAACTATCGTTGCCGGGAACAGAAGTTAGCTTTGTCTAACAAGTTGGTATGGTTTATTTTCTATATGTAAAGGCTAGAGTATCAAAAATATCTCTTCTGCAAAATATTCAATAGAACATATGTATATAAGCCATAGATGCACAGAGCCACCCGTAGCGAGAGTATCAAGCTGTAAAGGATCTATATATATCCATAGACTGGAGAGATATTACGCCAATGCGAGTTATTGAACTGAAATATATAAACCAGCTTCTCTCTGAGAACTATTTGCAGGTTCGTTTCTATATGTGACTTGAATTATCATGCTGGGATAGATACTTCCCGAGGAGGTGGCATTCGCTTCAAATGTTAGGTAGAGTAGTACATAACATGCTGACGTTGATGTTTTTAGTCAGGAGTACTTTGATCCACTATCCCAATCGAGCAGACGGGCACTTGCTGAGGGGGCTGGGAGGACTGTGGGCAGACTACAGATTGAGTGGAATACAGCTTGGGATTGGGGTTTCTACCATGGCAATAGTGTAAATTTTGGGTCCAGTAAATATAAGAATATGAGCAGTTCAGCCCTGTTTCATTTCACACTAGGCACAGATATCTAACACTGCTATACACCAACTAGAAAGCATCTCACCATCCCCCCCACCCATTTGCAAAGCCCAATGATTATCACAGGGTGAAAAAAAAAGGCCAGATAAAAAAAGATACATGTCAAGGAGAATTGAATAAAAAACGTGTTCAAGCCCCTTCATAAAAGGTAGGATGATTACAGAAGGATGAAAGCGGCACCGAACAAAGTCGACAGGACAGTGACCATACCGACGGAAGCAGCAGCGAAACCGAACTGGGAAGGCTTGAGGCCAGGGGCGGCACCCTCGGAGCTGGTGCTGGAAGCAGCAGCGCCACCGCTGGTAGCAGCAGAGACATCACCGGAGCCCTGGGTGGCAAGGCCGCTGGAAGCGACACCAGCATCCTGGCTGCCCTTACCCTTGAAACCATCACCCTTGCCGGCACCCTGGGTCAGGTACTTCTTAGCAGGGGCGGGCATGGCGGGGAGGAGAGCATCGGCATCGACGTTCCAGTTGGGCTTGGACTTGACGGGGCAGCCGGAGGCACCACCGGTGGAGTTGTAGCCACCGTTACCCTTGGGGTTATCGGTCTCATCGAAGGAAGCCTTGAGAGCCTTGTAATCCTTGTTGGGATTGACCTTGTTACCGTCGATCTTGACCAGGCCGTACTTGTTGCCGCCCTCGGTGTACTCGTAAACCAGACCGCCGGAGTAGACGGGAGTCATCTTCTCGGAGTAGAGGGCCTTGACCTCGTTGAACTCGCGGGTGTTGGTGTTGCAGCCGTACTCGGAAAGGAAGAGGGGGAGTCCGTAGCCGGTGAAGTTCTTCACCTTCTGGTCCCAGCCGGAGGTGGTGAAGGAAGAGGGGTCGCACCAGGAGTAGTCGTTGAAGGCGAAGAAGTCGGAGCGCTCATCGTCGGTACCGCAGTTCATGTACTCGGCCATCTCGAGACGGTTGGTGTTGACATCAGCGGCGGAGTATCCGACGGGGACGTGGCGGAGCTTGCGAGAGCGGAGGTAAGTGCGCATGTCACGGGTGACGGCCTTGACGTAAGGAGCGGCCTTGGAGGATGGGCCGTCATCAACGACCTCGTTACCGGAGAAGAAGGCAAGGGTGTTGTCGTACTTGGCGAACTTCTCCATGGTGGCGAAGATGTACTGGAGGTAGACGTCGTTGTAGGAGATGTCGGGCTTGTCACGGTTGAGGGAGTACTTGGGGGTGTTGACATCGAGGACAAGGTAGATGCCAGCCTCGGCGAGGGCGTTCATGCACTCGTCGTGATCCTGGGAGTTATCGACGGAGTAGACACGGATGGTGTTGAGGCCCAATTCCTTGAAGTTCTTGATGTCACGCTTGCAACCATCGACATCAGCGATGGGATCGCTGAGGTCGGAAGAACCACCGGGCTGGTAGTCGACACCGCGCATGTAGAAACGCTCATCGCCCTTGAAGAAGGCGTTACCCTTGACAGTGATGGGGGTGATATCACTGGCGCGGGCCTTAATGGTTGCGGCACCGAGGACGGTCGAGGCGCCCAGGGTGATGGCCGTAGCCATGGAGGCAGCTGTGGCCTTCATAATGTGAGAATAAGTGGAAAAAAGAGCGAAACTTGATATGAACGAGAGTGGGAGAATTAGAAGCGCTCAGAGGATTAAAAGAGTGAATGACAGACTGAGAAACGAAAGTGAGGTCAGAAAGAATGAAAAGGAAGGGAAGAAAAAGGCAAGGGATGAAAGGAGTTATGAGGCCAAGACTCCCCAGCAAATGGGCTGTGCTACTGCCAAGGGTCTTAATGTACATTGGCTGTCTGCTTTGTGATCAGCAAGGGTCATATTGCAGTGGACTTTTTGTGGAGTGACCCTGAATAAGGGTCGTTAATAGGTTCGTTCTTTAGATTTATTTTTCTTTGTCAGGTCCGGACCATCCTAACATCTGATGTAGAGGTGTACAAATGCATTCCAATTATATCTGTGTTATATCAAGTGTATACACTCTATTTCCACTGCATAACTACATATATCTCAAATTTATTATTCCGGCCATGAATCCCAGAGTGGAGAACCCTAGCTTGGCGATGACGCACCCCCATCTGGGCAAATCTGGGCAAGTCGATCGCACTTCAGGGGTCTTAGCAGTATTATAAGGGTCTAAGGGGTCAGACTATAGGGGCTAGTCAAACGCACTCAAATTCTAGATTCCCGAGTCAATCCTTGACATTTTTATTCGCTAAAACGCTTGTCTCGGCGCCACGAACCCCACCTGAGCGCCATACTAATTTTCAGACGGTCTATACATAGACCTGAGACACTGGATTGGATGCTGTGTGCATCAAATCTATTTCTTTCATGTTTCAAATCTACAAAGTACTCCGTTGGCACGATTGCAATCTGCATTCAAGTAAGCAAAACCCGAACATAACAAATCATGCCCTAGATCCTAAATGTGGCCCATATTCTAAAGTTTAGACTGTCTCACTGGTGTTCCGTGTGTCGGCTATATCCTCCCATGTATTTCCGTACCCCAGACTTGACCACAGAAAAATCCCAGGAAAAACTCCGACTATTAATACCCAAGACTACCCAAGACACGTTCATTCGGCAATGGTTCTATCTCAGAATATTCTATTTTGAGATGGTGAGACAAGTTCACCTTGGAAGAGTTACTCCGATGCTCCAGCCTAGGCCACCGCATTTTTGTTCCCGCCAAGATGTGACCGCTCTAAACTGCCGTATATTTATTTACACATAACTAGTTATGTACACAAACAAATAACTTGTTTAAGCAGTGCGCTTCTTCAATTTATCCGTTCCATGCACCCAATCCAACAATCCTAACGACCCATAATTCAAATTGAATTTCTCATGATGAAGATCATGCATTTTGGCTTTGTGACAAAAGAAATCATACCCACTGTGAACCGTCGCTGTATTCACCAGCTCATAAGCCAAGAACAACCAAAAAGTCACAACGTGACTCCCCAACAACTGCGGCGGCAGAGAGATGGGTAATGTATTAGCGAAGATGTGTTCAATCGGATGGGCAAATTGAGCAGCCAACGCAATCGGAGCCGTGAATCGGTGATGTTTCTTATGGATCGGGATGTATAGGGCGGGGATATGCAGGATTCGGTGACTGTAGTAGAATAGAGCTTCGCGCATCAACAGGCTGAGGAAGACGTCGCGGAGGATCTCGACTGGCGCTGGTAGGGAGGTCTCGATGCGATAGGTTGATTTAGTGCCAGCATGGCTGGCTGCGAACAGCAAGGTCAGATGAAGGACAGATGCTAGGATTTGGTTCTGTAGCACGACCAGGAAGCAGCGTGCGATCTCGCGACGATTTGGCTGTTTGGGGGCGGGTTGGATTTTGTGGCGCTGGGAGAAAGAGGGCGCTAGCACGTCGAGGAGCATATAGCATATCGATGGGAGCCAGAAGGTGAGGAGTTGGACAAGAAGTGTCCCCACGAACTCGATTTTCTGGGGCGAGTAAGTGGCCACGATGTGAACCCAGATGGCCGTGGCTTGGGATAGGACTTGGTCCAGAATGCTTTTCGGGATCTCCATGATTGCGCATGGAAATCGTTCGAGAACTGGCAGGATCTGGAGTTAATGTTAAATGTGAGTTCATGGTCTCCGTACCTGCCTCGGTTAGTTCCCCAGACCCCCCGCAGCGGGTGTTGATCGTTCTGCTCGCCATGTGAGAAAGCTTAAAGCTCGGGTATCTGTAACTTATGATCTATTGATCTAGATCAAAGGCACATGAAGTTTGTCAGCTAAAATCAAAACACAGACACTGAAAGAGGAAGAAGCGATGAAGCTGTGAGGGGCCCGAGCATGGCCCGGTATAGAAATGTGTAAATATTGTAAAGGAAGAGATCAGCCCTTCACATTGACATGGAGTTTCATGCTCAGTCTTTGAAACTAAATATTAGAGTACGCATCGCCAATTCCCGGGGTCCTAGGAAGACCCACCCACAACGATGTTCAACTACCTAAAACATAGCCTAGGTTGCCTCTTCGCCAACACCAAAGGTCACGATTCTAAACCCCCCACCAAAGCCACAGCCACCAACTCGAGTATCAAGGAGCGCCCGTGCGTCTCGCGGCTAGACGTCCGGTGTAGACCATCCAGCAGAAGGTGTATGTTGTAGGCTGATTCCCAACGCTAGGTTAGCCGCCTACATCGCCCGAGACTAAGCAGTATATTTTCGCCAGAGCGATCCAGATACATCTCTGCCTCTGATATTTATGGGGGTCTAGCGGTCTAGGATGGCATTCTCTCGATAGCGACGGGCTTGATTGAGGTCTTGATATTTCCTGGGGATTGGGTGGTCTAGGTTTCCAATATGACAGAAGCGCAAAGGCACTGTTTGTATCCCGCCTGGACAGTTGCTTGGACATGGGCCATATCGGTACCTTTTCACGCTTGTTGTTCTCACCGAGGCGATCGATGGTAGCGGGATGAAATTATGCGTACGACCTAGGGATCTTGTGAGGGATGGAGGGCAAGATTTCTGCGATGGGTTGGGGTGTATGAGAGGAAATGCTATTGAGTTTCCTTTTGCGATTTGGTGTGTTGGCTTGCTAGGATAGTTCCACGTTTTGTTGTGGATTCATCTTTTGAGTGATATCACACGTTTTTAAGGGCGAAGCTACGCTTATACCTAACCAATCCGGATAGAAGTAACGCAATGATAATCAGCTACCTCAGCTAGGATGTGAATGGCTTTGCACTCTGTGGCCTATATCTATATCGAGCATGTCAATACGAGGATTGTCATTGTCGAAGATATGGAACGCCTGATATCTAGAACCATGTGATCATAGCCTGCAGCATGACAGAAGTAGCAAGCTTAGGCACTTCCTATAACAGTAGAGCAATGCATGTTTCACCCTATGTGGACTTGCTATAATTGTATAGAGAACCGGTCTAACGCGGTACGGTGTAGTTCCTGCTACAACGGTCCAGGTAAATTGAAGTTGAATTTACACGCTCAGCCCGAGAGATGGACAATAGCTGGTCGCCTAAAGAGCCAACAATGCCAGGTTACTATTTTACCGAGTACCTACTTGGATACGATGTACGTCGGTCGGGTATCTATTACCATAATCAAGGTCTCCCATTGGCCATGGCCTTGGGGACGGTTGCCCATCCCAACAAATGCAGCTATAATTTCAAGATCGACTAAAATCCCCCTCTCTACCCCACTCCAACAGGGACTAAGTATACATGTGGACTTCGGACACAGTTCGCCTCGACACAACACCGATATCGACGAACCCTCTCCTAGCAAATATGTGTAGGATAATTCAATTGGCTTGCAGCATCACCTCACCAAGCTTTTAGGATGGCATATAAATCCATATAATCGAGAGAAAATGCACCGACAGATTACGCTAAGGCACTTTCGCCCGTAAAATGACAGCTCACACACCGAGAGGTCAGGAACCTGCATAGCCAAGTTTTATTCCGAGTTTCCGAGGCTAAAATATAGACTAGACTAAAATGCTCCGTCGATTTACATATATCATACAAGGGATACTATCAGGGTTTCTGAGCTCGATAATGCGAGATCGGGGGTTACTTATAAACCGTGGCCATGGACCAGACAGAGAGAGTCGAGAATTTTATCAGCCGTAGGGGATCTTTTCCATTGGGATTGACAGGATGGTTGGTTTTTATCAGTCTTTCTTGCTCATTGCCCTGGGGGTTTTGGTTTCGGCAGCCGACTTCTCTTTAATTGATATCATTGGTTTCCCCTTTGCCGAGCAGTGTGGAAAGCACAATGTTGCTGTGCGAAAGGAATGGTTTGTGTTTTTTTTTTTTTTGGTTTTCTAGGGCCAATTGAGAACTGACGTTGTATAGGGGAGAGTTGAAGCGAGCGGAGCGGATCGACTATATCGATGCGGTATTGTGTATGCAACGGCAGCCTCAGCACCTTCCAAGGGAAGAGTACCCGGGAGTACAGAACCGATTCGATGATTTTGTGGCGTAGGTTCTATGGCTTCATTCTAGACGCTAGGGACCGAGTCCTGACATATCATATAGTACCCATATCAACTATACACTCAATGTCCACCTGAGTGGTTTGTTCCTGCCATGGCACCGTCACTTCCTCTGGCTCTGGGAAACAGCCCTGCGCGACGAGTGTGGTTACACTGGCCATCTCCCGTACGTGCTACTCACCACAACCTCCAAACCATAATAACACAAACCAGATACTGGAACTGGCCATTATGGTCCGAGAACCTGAAAGCCAGCCCACTCTTCGACTGCAGCGACAGCTCCCTCTCCGGCGACGGCGAATACAACCCGGAAGAAGAAAGCATCTCAGGCGGCGCGGTAACCCTCCCGCGAGGATCAGGTGGTGGCTGTGTGCGATGCGGACCATTCAAAGACATGAAAATCCACATGGGCCCATTTGACCGCAACATTGCCTCATTCACCAAACTCCCCGCTCCAGGCTTTGACTACAACCCACGCTGCTTCAACCGTAGTCTAAACAATTTCGTCAGTAGCAACTACGATAACGTGACCATTGTCGATAGACTCCTGGCCGCGACCAATATCTCCGATTTCCAAGTTGTCATGGATTACTGGCCCGCGCGGCCGGCCGGGGTTCTAGGCATCCATGGCGGTGGACATTTCAGCCTCGGAGCCACACTCCAAGACTTGTTCACATCGCCGCAAGACCCGGCTTTTATGCTCCACCACGGTATGATTGATCGGTTGTGGAGTATTTGGCAGAAGAAGGATGGTAATCGGTTTGCGCTTAATGGGACGAATAGGATTCTTAATCCGCCCGATGCAAGGATTGTTACGCTGGATTTGGAGATGGAGTTTGGTGTGCTCGATCGGTCTCGGTCGGTCGGTGAGGTGATGGATCCGACTGGATACCGGTATTGTTATTCGTATAGTTGACCGAGGATAAACTCCGAAGTCACACCGGTTACTGGATAATAGGAACCATGAAAGACCTAGGGGAGCTTGAAATGTCCTGAAAATGCCTAATGGAGTAAAAAAGAAATAGTGACACGACTCTTACTATTGTTAGCGCTGAGACCAGGCCAATAATGGAGCTCCTTACTCTTTTCCGCAGATTCCTAATACCGGAGTACTCCGTACCCGACTCCATATGGCTAACATAAATATAGTGGAATAGTTCGTCTCGGTATCCATCGAGTTCTTTGGGCCGATCCGAGACATTTGATAGGGCCGTAAAAAAATCAGCCACGATATTCTGTTTATCTTCACTAGTGCGAAAAATCAAGAAATAGATATCCAAAAGAAAATAGTGAAAAAGTGAAACAAACAATTAGATAGTTGCCACCTGTGGCTCCTGCTGTTTGTCTCTTTACTTTCTTTTTTCTAACACCTCTTACACCTTTCTCCTTCACCCTGACATCTTCCCATCGCCTTATCAGTCTATCTTCAGCCTCCCAAAATGCTGCGTATCAGCCTTCTTCAATTGCTTTTCGTTACCCTGATCGCTCTGTCTGCGGTCTTCGCAGCAGACGTCAGGGGGACACACCGTGAGTCTCTCCAAGAAGCCCTCGCCGACATCAAGGCAGCCTCGTTCCATGATGCTCTGCATACTTTCTCTGCCAAATTCCGTCATGGTATCTTTCCAACTGACCTTCATGCCGCCGAAGCCCTGCAAAGCGAAGAGCCCGCCATTGCAAGCCTAATCAAGCTCGCCAAGCGTCAGAGCAATGCCACATCCAGCCCTGAGACATCCCCGGCTCCGGTTCCTTCGGTGACTACTTCCAGCACCGAATCAGCCACTGACCCGTCCACCACCTCAGCTTCTGAGACCAGTGAGACCAGCTCGGCTTCTACCGCTGAGCCTACTACCAGCGTGCAGCCAACCGAGCCCTCGACCAGCTCTACGAGCTCTGCTAGCTCTACCGGCTCCACCAGCTCTGCATCGGTCCCCGAGACCTCTACGGCCACAACCCAGACCACTGCTCAGCCCACTTCCACTACTCAGTCGACCACGGCTACTACTTCCTCGACTACCCAGACCACTCACTCGTCAACCAGTGTGGCTTCGACTCTGTCAACTACCAAGAGCACTTCGTCCACTAAGTCTACCTCCAGCGACTCAACTACTGCTCAAACCACCGAGCACACCAGCTTGAGCACTTCCACCCTCAAGAGCACCACCACCATGCCCGACGGCTCTCTGAGCACCATCACCTCGATCACGGTCATCACCCCAGAGGCAACCGGCAAAGCCACGGGTACCGCCGCTGGCAAGCCTGGTCTGCAGACTAACGCCGCCGCGATGCCTACTGGCATGGCTCGCGAGGTTGTCGCCATGTTTGGTGGTGCTGTCGTGGTCGCAATGGCTCTGTAATGGATCGATTTTTGTCTTTATCGCCTGCTTGCATCTTTATTTCGAACGGCGTTTTCTAGCACTTCGCATCGGCTCTGCATCTTCCTGGCTATTGCCATTGTACTATCTTTTCGCATGACCCGTGACGACCTACTCATGTCTCTCCTTATTTCTTGAGCGTTCGATGGCGGGAATTAGTGCCGAATTTGGCCTTTGTCCCGAGGGTTTTATCAGAACATTTACAGCGCATTGCACACGCTCAGCTTTCATGTGATTATTTTTAGTCCATGTTTTAATCTTCGCCTTGAAGATAACCAAAATTGTGCTCATTATCAAATTATCAAATTCATTAGCTCATTGACTGTATGGATTCATTCTTCGTATCTAAAGTAGATTCAAGGTATATAATATCATAGGACATGTAGAGTAAGTTTAAGGTATGCAAGATGATCGGAATGTCAGAATTGTGCGCAATCATCAAACCCATCGACACATTGACGTGAAGTCATTGATCGTATGAAGAGTGGGTGCAGGGTGTCCGAGAAGATCGAAATGTGCACAGCGGTGTTGTATGCGTGGTCGACGGTCTCTAACGAGCCTTGAGTGTCTCAGCTGGTCCCGAGAAACCATCACCGTCCAGCATTCCGACCTTCCTCCCACCGCTCCGTTTCAGTCCAGTACCGGACAACACTCTCCCAAGCAGCGAAGTCCCCGTTGCGCAGTAGAACCGCGATATCAGGATTCAGCGGCGAGTCCGGATTCGGGTCCGTCAACAACTGCTGGATAGTCGTGAGTGTGCCGGAGAGACCCCCAGACCCAGCCGGACTCCATTCTGAATCTAAGAGCGACAAGCAGATCTTGCCCGTTTGGAACTCGATATTTGGATGCGCAATCTTAGTCGTGAAGCGGATTTTTGGCGGTGCGTGAGGATAGTTCGGGGGAATTGTAATATCAAGATGCCAAAGTCCACCTGTTGGCACGTTAGATCGACTGGAACCCAGCAGGGATCAGATTTGAAATTGTGTACTTACCCTCGTATGGTGTTCCATTGGGGCCCTTCAATACAGTTTCCCAGTGTAGCAGGTCCTCATCATTGATCGGCCTCAGGTACAGGAGTGATTCATTCCCATTCTTTCTGTAATTATTCAGCTCTTTCACGAGCCGTTTTGTTGTGTCAATATACGATGTCTGGGACTCCATGTGAAACGTGATAAACTGTATGAAATTATGTAGATGTGTAGTTGAAGTGCGCCCCTCGCAGAGTTGGGAAAGTCGGGCCAGCGATCGCCGAGGTTGGGGAAGTTCTGCCTGGCCCACCCATGGATCGACCATCCGAGGATTCGCACGTGAGATTGCTTTCCGACTTCCTTGCCTGCTCACTTCCTGTCTTCTGTTAATTCTCTGTTAATTCGCTATGCGCACTTCTCGCACTTCCAGGGACACCGCGGAGGTCCTGCAGGCCCTCTCGCCCCCTATCCGACGACAAACGCGCAGCTCCAATGTGAGCGCGTTGAAAAGTTTCGCCTACAACCCAAATCCGAACGCGACTGCGACTATCAAGACAGAGCCTGGAAATGTCTCGATGATACCCGTTTTGTCTGTCTCTAAAAGCGAAGATGAATCCTCTCTCTCCGAGGCCGACACGGCGGATATCGAAGACCTCCTTGAACCGCCACCAAAGCGCCAAAAACGCAACGCAAACTCCATAAACCCACGAGTTCTCAAGCAGAGCACAAGTCCTCGCACACCCCAAAAAGTCATCGTTAAGGAGGATCCCGATCAGAAACCCACCCCGACCCCCAAACAGAAACAGCGACGGCTCCCTGCCCGCAAAACCCGCGATGTCGACGGCTCGGTCAAGGTCGAGCCCCCGTCCAACTGGGAGGAGATGTACGAAACTGTGAAAAAGATGAGAGCAGCCAATCCAACTGCACCGGTAGATACGATGGGCTGTTCGGAGCTATATTGGCGCGCGTCATCACCAATAAACCGTCGATTCCAGACCCTCATCGCACTGATGCTCTCATCCCAGACAAAAGACACAGTTACTGCGGTAGCGATGCAGCGCCTTCACACCGAGCTCGGAGATGACCCCGCTCCAGATGAGGACATCAAAATCAAACAAGAAATCAAACAAGAAGACGACGATTCGAAACCCACCGACAGCACCCTCAACCTAACCAACATCCTAGCCGTGGACCCAACGCGACTAAACGAACTAATCCGCACAGTCGGCTTCCACAACAACAAAACAAAATACATCAAAGCAACCGCGCTGATTCTGCGAGACCAGCACGGTGGCGATATCCCCTCAACACCAGAGGAACTCATGGCACTCCCAGGTGTCGGACCCAAAATGGCCTACCTCTGTTTGAGTGCTGCATGGGGTAAACACCTGGGGATTGGCGTCGATGTGCATGTCCACCGTATCACCAATCTCTGGGGTTGGAATAAAACCAAGACGCCCGAGGAAACGAGGAAGGCGCTGCAGTCGTGGTTGCCGCCTGATAAGTGGCATGAGATTAATAAGTTGCTTGTTGGGCTTGGTCAGACGGTTTGTTTGCCTGTTAAGCGTCGCTGTGGGGATTGTGATCTGGCTGGCACGCGGCTTTGTAAGAGTGAGATTCGGGGGCTTGAGCCGACAGTGATGAGGGTTAAGAGGAGTCCTGAAGTTGATGAGCCCAAGGTTAAGATTGAGGCTGTTTGAATGGCACTTTGCTGCTTGTGGATTACTGGTTCAATTTATACAGTCCATCCATCTCTGGATGAGAGAGCGTGGCGTCAGCGCTGAGCATTCGCTTGATATGAGGTTCCTAGAATGGTCTGATATTATCATCCTTAGTCGAAGGTACTTCAGCCTCTGAACCATGGCTTTGGGACAAAGTCATCCCATGACGCACTGGTCCAAACACCGATAATCTTCTTTTGATGCAACCTTTCAAGATTCCTTCTAAGGGTTGTTTGGAAGGCTGTGGCCACTTGGGCAGCCATGCTTTGTTCCTGAATCATCGTTGCCGCTGTGAGCCTCCAGGCACACTTCTCGGCGCTTCGCTGTCGCCTATCACATGTCACTATAACCAAAAGACGAGTGGGATGTGTTCATCAACCAAAACGGGGCCGGAGCTGAGCGATGACCCAATCTCGGTCTGTAAAGGGTCTATACAGAAATATATTATATCAAGAAACAGTGACTATCTTTAGCGGAAGCCACATTGAAAATGTCATCTCTATAATCACACCATTTCCTCTTCTTGTAAAACTATATACAATCTCCACCCTACCTCAAGGATGGAGCAGCGTTGCACCACTGTTTGCGTCCTCTGTTTAAGCGCTTTGATTGTTGAAGGTACATATGTTGCTATATCACAGCCAGCCCACCATTGCTAGACGGTAATGTTTACATCGAACGCATGAGAGACAGCCCTTTAGTAGTAGGTGTGACACACTTGGTCTCTTGTGAGATCCGGGTTATCGTTTGGGAGGGTCAAGAACAATACATGACCCGAGGAACGGCTAATTGCCAATCTTGTTGTTTCACATGTAGCGAAGAAAGAAAGGCAGTCCGTCCGATACTCCGAAGGTATCCAAAGAAGGTTTTCCCCTCCGAATGTTATCCAGGTGTGGTCATCATTGAGGCCGTAGACCCCTTTTTCTGTCCGAAGAGGCAAATGCTCAAATGAGGGCCGGACCAAGCAAGGTAGATGACACCGAATCAAATACACCAACATCCGTATGCCGATGATGCACATTCACCTCATCAAGATAAACGCCTTCGGGAGATTCGACATCATGAGTTGACGCACCCTTCTCTGTGGTTAGATCCCAAACCTCAATGTTCTCATGGAATGAACCTGATGTGAGATTGCTTCCGTCCCGGGACCAGGAAACAGATGAGACAGACCTTTTATCTCTCCCCAGAGTCGATATACACTGCCCAGTGGCTGGATTCCATATCACGACTCTCCCATCATGTTCTGATGCGAGCCGACTTCCGTCTCGAGACCAGGAAACCGACCGGACTTGGTTGTCATACCCAACAGGGGCCGGTATACCCTGCTTAGTAGCCAGATCCCAGATCCTAACTGTTGTATCATTGGACCCCGATGCCAGCTGGCTGTCATCCTGCGACCAGGAAATAGACAAGATTAAATCGCTATGTCCCTTGAGAATCGACATACAGCGCCTGGTATCTGCGTCCCAGGTCACGATTCTCTCGTCCTTTGACCCTGATGCGAGCCACTTTTCATCACGGGACCAGGCAACCGAGTGGATTGAGCTGCTATGTCTTTCGGGGGTTGATAGGCATTGGTCAGTGGCCGGGTCCCAGATCTCAATTGTCATATCGTATGATCCCGAGGCGAGCGAGCTTCCATCCGGGGACCATGCAATAGAGTAGACTAGCCCACTCTGGTCTTTGAGTATCGACATACACCGCCCAGTGACTTTGTCCCAGATCCCGACGGTGCCGCCACTATTGCATGACTGTGATGCGAACCGGCTTGCATCTTGGGACCATGCAATCGATGCGGCATGTTCTTCGAGAATCTGAAGGCACGGACTCCAATGATCCTCCATCGCTGGTTCCTTGAGAACCCAGTTTGTTTTCACAGATTGATAACAAGGTTTGATCATACTTCGGGCGGGGCTGAAGACGAGCGATGAGAAGTATACTTGAAGGGGACTGTGCTCGATTGCTGGCCTGTGGTACTGGATAAATCGACAAGCATCTCGGACTCGTTCTGCAAGCTCTTTTGCGTTATCCAAACCCTATGACACCACTTGGTGGTTAGAAATACAGATTTATAATCGTAGAAGGGGTCATCAACCTGAAGAAACCTGTCGAGCTTGACCATAGCAGATATCCCTTCTGGAATATGTCTCATGAGACTAATGGCTTCAAGCCAGAAAAGGTATCTCTGCTTGAAAAACTCCTCAACTGGCCCATCCTGTCGGAAATCATTAATCACATCGCCATGCTCATGGCAATGTTGGAGATGATCAAGCCAGTAGAGACACGGGTACCGTACGGCTGCCAATGGATCTGGATCAGGTTGTTTAACTTCGTCGATGGGAAACCCGGGTAGTTTGAGGCCATATATATCGCGCCGTAGTATCTTGAGCGATTGCAAAGAGCGAGAAAAGATCGCATGATGCTCAGCTTCTTTACCTCGGGTAAATATTTCCTTTGATGCCGTTTGGAGAAGGAAGTCTTTTGCGGACTGATGCACAAAGAAGATAACGCGGTCTCTGATTGTAAGGAATGAGCCACATTCCTCTACTATTTTGCTTAAACATTGGTTGTCAGTGGTGATATACTCGGGCATATCGACCAAAGTCGGTAACTCGTCTAGAGTGATAGGTCGGTATGTAATTAGAACGACAGCTAGGATTTGCTTGCAAAGGCCTGCATCTTCTGATTTGTGAATTTGCTCAAGCATCTGAGCGTAGAGGGATTCAAGGCTAGATGGAAATGCAGTCAACAGCGAGCAAGCGTTTCCGTTCCTCCATCGTGCTGCTTTAGCGAGCTCCTCGCAGACTGATGCCACCCAGAGGAAGGTACCATGTGCGTTGGAAAACAAGTATTGGGAGATAGCGTCGCGTATTTCATCTTTATACTTCTTTTTCTCCGTCAATTCCTGAACTTTATGTTGGATGAAAATAGTGACTGCATCAGCCACAAATTTTTCGTTCAACTCTAGCCAAAGCGTTGCCTTCTGAGTCGCAGCCTCAAGGGCCTCTCCAATAGCTGGAAAGCAACGGCTTGACACAATCCATTTGACATGTGGACAAACTGATGATTTCTGGGCGACAAAGTCCAGAAGTAGGTCCCGATCTTGTGTACATTCATCGAGAGCATCGATCATTACATAAGTGCTCTGTAAGAGCGGATCCTCCAAGATATTGGTAAAGATCTTTGACAAGGCCTCCCATGCATTGGCATCTTCGAACCCCCTTTTCCCAGTCTTATCATGTTGTCGTCGTACATGGGAGATGAGGTATGGCTGCTGGTCAACCAAGTTAAAGATCAGGCCGCGAAGGACTGCAGCAGCGTTGTTTAATCTTGCGTCCATAGCCTGGCAGAACATAAATGAGACGGCAACATTGTCAGGGGTTGACTGATCCAGCTCGTCGATAATTCCACAGAAAAGCATTGTTTTGCCCTTTCCGGGGTCCCCTTTTATCCAGAGCAGCTGACTTCCTTGCTCATGGCGCCATTTTTTGAAGTCATCATTTTCGAAGATCCAGCGACAAGAATCCTCAAGTAGTCCGCCTTTGAGTTTTTCGATACGACGTTTGTCATCGCGGGGATCTGTCATGTATAGATCCTTTAGACAGGCTCGATCTTCGGCATCTGATGTACCATGGTTTCTTCCTCGATTGGGAGACGCTTTTTTATCTTTGAACCGACTTTAGCCAGGCAAATTTATATATCAGTGGTTTGCGAATCTTTCTTACCACCTGCCAATGTCCATCTGCGAAGCTCCCCCAACACCCTCTTGAAACCAGTCTCCTCCACTGTTGCAAATTTGACCATGTCCCTATGATTAGCGTGAATACTACGGGGCATATAGCCGGCAAGGGAGGCAGACTCCTTTGATACAATCGTCCTACCCCTAAAGGTAGGAAGCTCTTCAAAGAAGCAGGTGACCTCAAGCGCCCGACCCTTTTCACGTACTTCGCGCACCATGGCCAAAAAATCATGCTGGATCGAATCGAGGAGCTGATTATCCCTCTGCAGGACATCTAGCAGTTTCATGTTGGTAGACTGCAAGAAACCGAACGTAGTGGCAGGAATCTTGGCCCAGTCCGCCATCCACGCTCCCCTGTGAGGGGTTCCCATGAATACCACACCCTTGAGAGCATGGAATACACCCTGGAGGGGTTTTTCAGGGTTATTGCGTGATAGTAGAATAGCCGTCTTGCAAACCAGGCCCCCAAGGCTGTGGGTGACGAAGATGAGCGGACGGGAGGATGCATTGCAGGATTCTCGGTCTGATGTTAAATTGGCTAGGAGATTTGTTGCATGGTCGAGCAAGCCATTCGACGAGACACCTGATTTAGACGAGACGCCTGATTTGGACATGAAGTATGCATCGTAGCCCCATGTCAGAATCCGAGCTTGTTCGAGTTTCTGTGGAAGCAGCGCTTTCGGCCAGGGCGTAGATTGACCTTCGGCGGTCCAGGTTCTCTCCCGATCGCCCGTCAGACCATGGATGAAACAAATATCGATTTCAGCATCAGGAAGGTCACGCAAAACTTTCAGGCCGTCTGGGAAGTGAGAGACCGAAGGGTGTTTAGGTAAAGGGTCGCCTTGACAATCAAATGTAAGGTCATGCCTTTTTTCTTGCGTATAAGAGATGAGTTCGGTCTGGATTCGTCGGAGTATTCTCATGATTTAGGGGAAAAGAGACAGTCCGGGGCATGGGAACAAATGTTCTTTGTGTCACAATAATAATGGGTAGTATAGGGCCCCCTTAAATACAATATTCGGCTGGCCGAGAAAGATGTATAGAGTAGCCGCCTGCAACCTGTTACTGCATGGGCGCTTACTGCCCCAGCCAATGAAAAGTGACAGCCCGCAACGATAAAACACTAGGTGCTTAGCTAGTCTCACTTGTCCAATTAGGGTCTTTGCAGAAGTTACAGGCGCTGTCGTGCGCCGAATTGGCGGGTCTCTTCAGAGTCCCGCCAATTCAACAATACTCCTGTCAGCCAAACATTTCGATCACATCATTGGGGAAGAAGTTGGTTACCAAGTCCAGTTTAATTCATCGATGTCTCCTCTATTCCCTCGTAATTATGGTTTTCAGATTGTAAATTGATAGGTATGTATGCTTTTGTTTTCTGGATTCACGAATGCATTGTAAATACAGGTGGTTGGTTGGACATGTTCCTTATTATCTCGAACTCCCTCGCCATAATCTCTGCATCTTGATCTTCTAATAACAGGGGTTGTATACCAATACGCTTGCAAATAGCTTGGGTCCAATAAACAATATGTCCCACACGATCAAACTCGGCTTTCGCTCGTCTACTGTAGTCGCCATAGAACTCCGTGCGGGCTGCTTGGCTTAACCAAAAGCTTGGCTTAACTAAAAGCTCATGGACATGAATCTAGCTGCTGTAGGTGGCTCGCCACCAAGAGATAAATTGTTGGCAGGAACTCAGCCATGTGTCTTCGGGTTTGCAGAAATCATTGGAATATGTTTGAATATTGTACACATTGAAGTGTGTAAATCTACAGCCAATGAAAGTATCCCGAGCTCGGACATAACCCACTGAAGCTTCTTATCGCCGGTCCCTCGAAAGCTCAACAACTCGTGAAAGTCGACCACAAACCCAGCACCCCGAACTATCTACGAGAGCACACATTATATTTCCCTCAAGATCCCATCTCCAACCTCCGTATACCCCACATCGCCCTGAATCAACGCCTAAAATGCCCCCTCTAACCCCAATCCCAATCCCCCTCTTCGCCTCAACCCAACTCAACCTCCTCCACGAAGAACACGCCGCCGAAGTCTCCTCCTCAAAACTCGCTAGCACAGCCGCAACGGTCTCCCCCTCAACCCGCCGAACCCTCCAAGCAACCGGCTACGCCCTAACAGGCCTGATCCTCTCACAATGCCGAACCGGTCTCGGCGGGCGCGTCGTCGGCGAATTCGCCCCAGATCCAGCAGTCGCATCAGATGAGTCCCGGGCTGCAGATGGGACGCCTCGTCTTGGGTCGCATGGGATTCGCGTCGGGGATGTGGTGCGTGTTAGTGACATTGCGGGGCCTGGGAAAAAGGTTGGGAAAGACAAGGAGAAGGATAAGGATGCGGAGAAGGGCGGTCCTGAGGGCGTTGTTACGCGGACTGGGGATCGCGCTGTGTGGATTGCGTTTGGGCGGCCGGGTGGTGGGGGGATGTCTAAGGAGGATGACGAGGCTGTGGAGGAGCTTTGGGGGAAGAAGTTATGGGCTATTAAGCTTGCTAATGATGTTACGTATAGAAGGTATGTCGATTGGGTTATTGGGTTGATTACTGAGTGGTTTGCTGACTTCGGGCTAGGATGAGGCAGACTATGGAGAAGATGGAGAAGATGGCGGAGACTGACTATACGCATTTCATGCGTGTTGCATTTGGGCATACGACACCACTACAACTGGATACGGAGGCGTGTGGACCTGTCGAGTTTACGGATCCCACGCTTAATGATTCGCAGAAGGATGCTATTCGGTTTGCGCTGGCTTCGCGGGATATTGCGTTGATTCATGGTCCGCCTGGGACGGGAAAGACACATACACTCATTGAATTGATTTTGCAATTGGTTCAACGGAAAAAGCGCGTTCTCGTCTGTGGACCGTCGAACGTTTCTGTTGATAATATTGTGGAACGTTTGGCTCCCAAGAAGGTTCCTGTTGTGCGCATCGGTCATCCTGCTCGTCTGCTTCCTTCCGTTCTTGAGCATTCCCTTGAAGTCCTTACGCAGACCTCTGATGCTGGGGGTATTGTGAAGGATATTCGCAAGGAGATTGATGAGAAGCAGGCTAGTATTCGCAAGACTCGGTCTGGTCGCGAACGACGAGGTATTTATGACGACTTGAAGCTGCTTCGGAAGGAGTTCCGACAGCGTGAGTCTAAATGTGTGGATAACCTGGTGCGCGAGAGTAGCGTGGTGTTGGCTACTCTCCACGGGGCTGGAGGTCACCAGCTCAAGAACCAGAAGTTTGATGTTGTGATTATCGACGAGGCAAGTCAGGCTCTCGAAGCACAATGCTGGATCTCTCTTCTGGGCGCAGAGAAGGTAGTTCTTGCCGGTGATCATCTGCAATTACCGCCGACCGTCAAATCCACTGGACAGAAGTCCAAGGATGAAGTGTCCAAAGGCACCGAGGGAAAGACCGACACCGAGACATTGAAGGGTGTCTCTCTTGAGCGCACATTATTTGATCGTTTATTAGCCCTGCACGGGCCGGGGATCAAACGCATGTTGACCACCCAATATCGCATGCATGAGACAATCATGCGATTCCCCTCCGACGAACTCTACGAGGGGAAGTTGATAGCCGGCGACGCTGTGAAATCCCGTCTATTAATCGACTTGCCTTACGAAGTAGGGGGTACAGATGACACGCAGGAACCCCTGGTTTTCTGGGACACGCAAGGCGGGGATTTCCCCGAAAAGGCGGAGGATGAGATCAGCAAAAAGGGAGCCTTGCTTGGAGACAGCAAAAGCAACGAGATGGAAGCCATGGTCGTTGCCAGACACGTGGACAGCCTGATTGATGCAGGTGTCAGACCCGAGAGCATTGCCGTGATTACCCCTTACAATGGGCAATTGGCTCTACTGTCGCGCATGCTGCGAGAAAAATACCCTGGTCTTGAACTTGGTAGTGTGGATGGATTCCAGGGCCGCGAGAAAGAAGCTGTTGTGGTGAGCCTGGTACGCAGCAATGCAGAGCATGAAGTGGGTTTCTTGGGTGAGAAGCGACGATTGAATGGTATGCTTATTTCTCCTTTTTTTGGCTTTCCTTTCTTTTTTTTTCTTGTTATTTTTCGTGCAGACTGTGCAGGTGTTGTACCTGCAGCGAATTCAATAGATCACTAACGATGCATGTAGTCGCCATGACGCGCCCCAAGCGACATTTGTGTATTTGCGGCGACTCGGAGACGATCAGTCAGTAAGTGATAATTTGTCAAATGTGCCATTGAGTTCGAGGGTTTAATACTGATCGACCTTTTTTTTTTCATAGTGGGAGTAGCTTCCTCAAGCACTGGATGGACTTCCTTGAAGAAAACGCCGATCTACGATACCCCGATGCTGGAGATTTGCTGTAGAGACGTATCACCTTTAAGCGCAGATCAAGAAGTTCCAGTTCCAGAACAATTTCAGTCTCCACTTGGGATTATTTAGAACGCACGGCCTGCAATATCGGGGTCAGACCTCCAAACACAAATACTTTCACCAAAAACCCTTGCGTGGGACAGGGATAAGGAAGATAAGGTATTTCGAACCCAGTTAGACGATCTTTTCTGCAAGAAGCGTCGGTGCATTTCCCGAAACAGAATTGGGCCGTGAAAGGCTTCCGAGCCGTAACTGAGGGATATCTCCCTTTGAAGGAAACGGGAACTACGTGGGCGAATAACGTGAAGCATGGGCGAATAGCATGGGCGAATAGTATGGGCGAATAGCTTAGGCTGATTGAAGCTGAAACTGTTGAAACTGCGTGTCACTTGGGCCGTAAGTCTGTGCGGATATCAACATCCCATATGGTTGGTGTTTCAGAATCCACTTTGTCTATTCTGCATAAGAAGGTGAGTTAAAGCATTAATAGATTAATAGATTAAAAGACTAAAAGATTAATAGAGCAATATATTAACAGATCATATAGAAAGTATTCCCATTGTCTTTTTTTCTCAAACCAAAATCTGTGCTGTGGCTGAAGAACCAGTGTGGGGATTGTTAGCTCTCTCATCTCTTTCTCCCCTAATCTCTCCAACTCTCCCCTTTCTTCTCTTTGTTCTCTCCCTTTTGTTCTTTTATGAGAACAAACGGGAACTCATTATGTTCCTGATATCCGACACTGTACGTACCGTTTGTGACACTACCTGGTTCTTCTGCTAATCCCCGTTTGATAGCTTTCAATAGTCTCAGTCGACTAAATTTCAGCCTTGATTCAAATTCGGAATTTACTTTTGATACCCTTTATACCTTTGGATCTTTTTTTTCCCCGACATTCGCTCAAAGCTTTCTTTTTTTTGCTTCCAATTTTGCGACGATATACCCAAATTTCTTGTAATGATCAAACTCGATATCTTACTACCTTATATGCCCACTATTTCTCGATTGCGACCCTCAATACGTCACAGCCATGTCGAGGCGTCCCACACGATCCATAGCGAGCGCTGGCAGCGAGTCCGTTCGAAGTATACAACAATCCTCTCCCGCCCGCGGAGAGCGTTCCGCCTCGAACCCCGCATCTTGCATAGGAGATAACGATGATACCGCGCTACCGTCAATGGAATTTCACTCGCACATCCAGCCATCTATGACCCATCGCCGAACAGGGAGCACCTTGAAAACGGTGATGCGCAAGATCTTCAACCGCAAGAGGCAAAGTCAGGCCGATGAACTGGAAGAGAATCCATATGAATCTACCTTTGCGATGCCACCAATGAGGAAGCTAGGACAAACGAAAGGAAAACCATTGTTGTCCGTTCCGCCTCCTCTCAATTTGACTCCACACCGGAGTAGTCCACTTTCGGCGCAGAATCTCCAGCTCGCCGAAACACATCTGTCTCCGCTATCTCCTCTATCGTCTGCAACCTTGCGTGATTCAATGCCCGGTAGCATGCAGCCACGCCGGAGACGTGCAACCCTTCCTAGCGTGGTTTTTTCAGATGATGAATCTCGCTTTGCCGTCGCATCAACGGCAATGTCTGATCCGCAAGAGGAAAGAGGCTATATGCCAGAGCGAAGACACAGCTTGCTCTCCCACCGGCTCTCAATGAGCACAGATGCCTTGCGCGAAATGACAGATCACCTGCCAGAGACCCTGACCTCTTGGCCCCAACGCACATCATCCGCCCCCGGGCCTGTCTCGGTTTCCCGCTCGCAGTCCCCGCTATTAGATGAAAGCTCTAATAGTGGGCAATCTGGCAGGCCCTCCTCGGGAACAACAGTAACCAGTGTGACCCGGGCGTCCGCCGCACCGTCTTTGATGGAAGTCGACCAGCACGCAGAACAAGCCAGCCTCCCACCAAACGTCGCAAGCCTAGTCAACACAATGCAACAAGATGACAACGTCACCCTGGAACAGCGGTTGACTACGCTAGAAGTCAAACTGATCGACCTGGAATTCGCCATTGCCCGAATGCAAACCAATGGCCCGGAAACCACTGAAAAGCCATCGCGCCCACGACACTCCCCTTCAACAGATTCCTTCCCCTCTCACATGCGCAACAAACCCACCGCATTCCTATCCACGAGCGACCGCGATGACTCCCCAAGCCCCCTCCCAACTATCTCCACCCGCCCCTCCAGCACAAGCACAATCCGCCAAGACTCAATGACCCGCACCCTCCGCCCCGCCCCATCAGCATCATCCCTGTCAGACTACCAAGGTGTCTCAATTGAGCAATACAGCACGCTAGTCACGCTCCTGCGCCGCGAACAAACAGCCCGCAGGAACTTGGAGACCCAAGTCGGCGGTCTGCGCGATGACATCCGCGATCTCCAGCGCGCAGCTCTCGAATCCATGCAGTCAAACATGGGCATGATGCAGCCCGCACATGGCACGGAGTCGCGGCAGTTCCTGCGCTTCCGTCGCGCGCTAGATGACTCTGATAATTCTCCGGCGCTTAGATCGGATGATAAGCACACTGGTATTGCGGACACAGATTCCGATTGGGATCGGTCGGATATCTATTCCCGTGATGATCCGTTCGGTCCTCCAAAGTGGGATCGTCAGCGGGTTACAACCGTTCCTATGATTTGATTTCTATGTTGCAAAATATGCAACTTTCCTTTTCTTTTTTTTTCTTAGCGGTTTTCTTTTTTTTATATACATTCTGGACAGCCTGAACGGATATGATGTACTTCAGGCTTGTCAATTCTTATTCTTTTGCACATGTCAATGCGCCATTTCGGATCCCCAGGGGCATCCCCGCGACAGGATCGCGACTTTGACCAAGGTCAGCGCTGAGATACATGTCGAGCACATGTCCGCTGTCTCTCTCTCTCTCTCTCTCTCTCTCTCTCTCTCTCTCTCTTGGTATGGGGACAGACACGACAGATTAGGGTTGCACACGCAACACGATTTGTGACGATTGGCACTATCTTGTACCCCAGGTTTAATGTCATATACTTCTCCATTCATAATAATCCCTGTAAACATCCCATATTAATTCCCTGTATTATAGATTCCTCATCTAGGCTCGGCTAATCACAAGCACCGCGCTAACAGTGCAGATCCGTGCAGATCAGTGCCACAAACTGATAATCCACTTTCCAGACGCCTGTCCATTCCCCCCATCTTCTATTCCACAAGCCTCGTGTTCAAAAGCTTCGTACCCCTCTATCTGACTCCCCGACGTCGGACATACAGTCATGGGTTACATGCCACACGTCCATGTGGCTGCAATAGTACATTACACTCAACCTTATTGACATTATACATGTCAAATACTCTAATTGAATGAAATGAAACTATTTAACCCTTTCCAATGGCCAACCCCAATCAACCTCATCCCAATCAGCCTCATCCCAATCCAAAATGTCACCTAAACCACCCACAATAACAATAATCGGCGGCGGAATAGGCGGCCTAACCCTAGCAGCCGGCCTCTACCTCCGCAAAATCCCAATCCAACTGTACGAAGCAGCCCCCACCTTCAAAGAAATAGGCCTAGGAATCTCCCTAGGCCCAGCAGCCTACCGCGCAATGCCCATGATCCACCCCCCAAATCCAACAAATCTACAACTCCCTCATAACAACGCACGCAGACAGTCCCGGTTACGAAGACTATCTCCAAACCTGGTTCGAGATCGTCTGGGCAACAGGTGGACAAGAAGGCGACACATTGATGAATCTAAAAGCCCTGCCGTCTGGACAGACAGCTCTCCGAAGAGCGGATTTCCTAAACGCGCTTGTTGAGCTTGTTCCGGCTGAATTCGTGCATTTCGGGAAAAGGTTAAAGACACTCGTTGAGAGAGACGACGGGGTTGTGCTAGAGTTTGAGGATGGGGAGGTTGTGGATGCTGATGTTGTTGTTGGCTGCGATGGCATTCGGTCGAAGGTGAAGGAGTGTATGATTCCTGTTGGATCGTTGCGGATGAGGCCGGTTTACAGTGGGATGTATGGGTATCGGGCTGTGTTGGAGATGGGGGAGATGGTTGCGGCTGTTGGGGAGATGAGGGCGAGGGTGGCAACTATTTATGTTGGACAGGGTGCTTATGCCATCTCGTATCCGATTATGAGGGCGAAGTTGGTTAATGTTGGGATTTATGTTTTGAGTGATCGGGAGTGGGAATATGATTCTTGGGTTAGACCGGCGAGGAGGGAGGATATAGAGCGGGATACCAAGGATATGGGGCGGTATGTGAGGTCTTTTGTTGAGGTATGTTTTTATGTTTTGGTTGCGGTTGCCGTGCTTTGACTATGTGTGCTAAATTACTTGTCTTGATTCTTAGCATATGCCCGACCCATCTCAGTGGGCTATCTTCGAGCATCCGCATATCTCAACCTATGCGCAATCTAGAATAGCGATTATGGGCGACGCCGCGCATGCTTCTACGCCGCATCAAGGTGCTGGGGCTGGTCAGGCTATTGAAGATGCGCATGTTCTTGCGGAACTACTGAGTGATTCCCGTGTTGGCTCTGTCAACGATGTTGTTGCGGCTTTTAAGGCATATGATGATATTCGTCGGCCTAGGAGCCAGAGGGTTGTCACTAGCAGCAAGGAAAATGCTGATATCTTTTGTCTGTGTTTTGATGGGGTTCTTGATGATCCGGTGAAGCTGAAGGAAACGCTTGATCAACGTTTGAAGTGGCTTTGGGATTTGGATGTACAGGATCAGGTCGAGCGTGCGAGGGAGAAAATGGTGAAGTATTTGGAGAAAGCAGGGACAGTCAAGGATTGATTATAGCATTATAATGAAATATTCATGGATGTGATGTTCGAGTGTAACAATGCGGCAGCGGCTGGGACGCTTCTAGAGTTCCTTTCTGTATAATTGCTCGGCATTTGACAGAAGTAATATCATGCGCTCCAGAAACAGACAATATCCATCCATCAAAGGAAACATCTTATCTCAATTGAATGGCATCGACATTTTAGAAGGCAAAGGGAAGAGAAGATGATGATATTGTGTAGCTGAACAGCTACATAAGCGCGGGATATCGGTCACGCGGTGGTGCTAGCTGTGTATATGGTAAGATGTACGACTCAGAGGAACATTTTCTCTACAATCACCTTGCAAGTATGTAACAGATTCTCCTTGGGATTCCCTATTTGAGTCACTCCAATGGTGCTTAGGGTAACTTGCCCTCACGTGAATAAATGTTTGTGGGACTACAGTCAATAATACAAGTGATGTACATAGACAATGCCCATACTATCTTCGTCCTAGTGAATACGTACAGTATCATCATGGCCTTGGCCCCCCGCTTTATCTTTGTTTCATAATACCTCTCAAACATGTCCATATAATAACCCCTACTCCCGCATATCGTCCCCATATCCCTCTTTTCCCCTGCTCTCCAAGCTTTCCAGCCCTTCTTTGTCAGTGAGATTAATAAGCAGACCCCCCATCTATAGGGTAGACTGGCTGTTGAACAATATTTTATCGTATTTCATACCTTTTGGTTTTAATTCCATTGCTAATCCTATGCAGATAAATTGGAACCACTACTTAACCGAAACCCATGTCTGTGTGAGCAAATAGTCAAATTGGGTCTTATTGGTCGCGCTGAACTGAGCTGGAATTGCTTTCAATCTCGTTCAATTGCTTATGTTTCCCTGCTTGTCTGCCAAAAATATCCAAATCAGCTGAAACTATATTCTGTTTATGCATACCCAGTGTTTGGTGGAACTTCCTTCTTCGACCGTAAGCCTTTATCTTGCTTAGGTGGCAAGACGGCAGCTGTCTTGAGTAGTTTGTTCAATCGGATATGTGAACCTTTTTCGGTTGAGAAGATTCGATTAGTGTAGGTTTGTGTCGGAATGAAATATCTTTTGAAAGGTACTTCCTTCCAGTTGACATGTAGAATGGATATTAGACAGGTTTCCTGCTTGGATTAAAGTCCGCTCAGAGTACACAATGAAATCTTTATCTTAAATGCCATACACTTTCAAGCAACCCGATACCTTTTGGATCACCAAAAACTTGCTTGTAGGCGGAGGATAGTGCATATTTGTCCCCTTCGTAACCAAGCAGACTTTAAATTCGCGGAAATTACGCCCTTTGGGCGCTTTTATATGCGAACGGCCGCATCGGTAGACACATACCCAATAACATCGAGTATGGTGGAAGCCGTCCTAGCAGAAACGGAGCGTAGACAATGGCTAGAATGGTGCAGTCGGGAGTCCATAGCACCCCCGGCTTAACAAACTTGTCATGTGAGCCAGTCCAAATACTTATACGGGATAGACCTATACTATTTAGACACATATCTTGTACAATATTCTCATGGCGTCGTGGAATCTTCAACGGCCATGGCCGGAGGATAATAAGACGGGCTATGATGTTCACGAAAAGTGGTGAGCACCTATACACTAGGAATCTAGGGAGTATTTGCACTCTTGGTATTAGCGAAGGGCTATTATTCGGCTTCTGATTTATGACTCACAGTTTGAGAAATACGAGGATTTCCTAATTTTGCTTTGCTTAAGCCTAAAAGATGGGGTGCGCCGATTGGCTGTTATTGGGGTAATTGGGGGCTTCCCGTGCTATCGATCTTCGCGAATTACGACTCATTTCGCTTGCCAATTCGTACTCTTCAAGGTGCTGACAGAACTAAAATATCATTTATATCCGCCGGACTTCGTTCTCTTATCGTTCGTCCTGAAAATGTCTACCACTATGGAAGGCACGCCGCAGACTCCGGCCGTAAAAGTCATTCAATCTTTACCAGCTCCACCCGCCTACCGAATTGAGACCTTCACACAAAGCGAACTTCTCAAACAGCCATTCCTTCCCGAACTCTGGGAAGTCATCAACACCAGTTACTATGATACCGGTGACAGTCCTTTTGAAAAGACGAAACCCCGGATCAGAAGTGACACACAACTTGCCGACGAACTCCAGGAAACCGGTCTTACGGCGATTGCGTTCGCTGAAAATGCGATCATCGGCACAGCAAGCTTAAAAATTTGGACGCCAGATTCCGAAGGCGCCGTGTGGAAAGCACCAGGCCATTTTGAACAATTCAGTGCAGATGAGATCTTCTCCGCGAGCTCAACGGTGCTGGATAGCCTTCATGATGAATCTCAAAATGTGCCCTGTGAGGGAGATTTCGAACTTGTAGCTATCGCGATCACGCCGGATCCTCGATACAGAAGGAAAGGCATTTCACAAAGCTTGGTCAAGGCGTGCGAAAAGGAACTGAGAGGAAAGATGTCTGCTGTGGGCTCTGCTAAATCGGCTCAGTCGTGCATTATGGTCAAGTCCATTCGCGAGGTCCAAGGTTCTTATTGGCTGAAACGGGGGTTCCGCGTCGTGGGGGAAAGCTATTGTCCTCCTTTTACTTGGTCATACAACAAAGGGTTTGTTCTTTGGGCCATGGAGAGAGAACTATCTGTTTAACAATTGATATGGTAATATAGCCATGTTAGACGTAAGATTTCATCTCTCCGGCAAAAGTCGTTTCCGAATGACCGAAGTACCCCCTGGATTGAAGCCGAGGAACCCCATGATTGGTGGCAGGCCTGGTATTTGTGTACAAGTGTCTACTTCGGCTTTCTCTTGCATCAAAATAATAAGATCGAACTATATTGTTACACGCGACGTCAGCTTACTTCTCCGCATTTGGGCAGCATATAACCCCCACCAACACTCCGAGATAGAGGCGTATTTTATATCTTTCAATCTTCAACAATGGCCACGGTACAAATTTCAGACGACATTTTGGAGGGAATCAAGGACAAGGTGGTTTTTATTACTGGTGCGAGTAATTTTTATCATTACGAAGAATGAATGATATTAATGAAATCAGGTGGCGCATCAGGAATCGGAAAAGCGACTGCAGAGCTATGTCTCAAGCACGGTGCGAATGTGGTCATCGCCGACCTGAACTCTCTGCCTTCGGATCTTGAGACCTCGGAGAAACTCAAGTTTATAAAAGTGGACGTTTGCTCATGGGAAAGCCAACGCGACGCATTTATTCAGACCGCAGAATGGTTCGGTCGAATTGACCACGTCTTCGCCAATGCAGGCGTCGGGCCAACGATGAACTTCATGGATGACGGCCTTGATGAAAATGGCCAACCTACCCCTCCCGATCTACGGACGATCAATGTCAATCTTCTGGGTGTCCTCTCCACCGTTCGTCTAGCCACACATTACATCCAGAAGCACTCCGCACATCGTGCACCTGGAGAGCTCGGCAGTATCGTGGTCGCTGCTTCTACGGCTTCGTTCCAAAACTTCAGCGCTGGTGATTATACGATCACGAAACATGGTGTTCTAGGACTCGTCCGTGGGATAGGGTGTCAAATTGAGGGAAAGGTTCGACTCAATGCTATTGCCCCTTCTTGGACGGCAACTAGAATGATTGATGCTGGTTTTATTGAGGGGCTTGGTGTCGGCGTTCAGGGACCGGACGTTGTGGCTCGGAGTGTGGCCCTGCTTTTCAACGATCATCAGCGTCATGGGGATGTTATATACAGTTGGGACGGGAAATATCTAGAGGTTAACAAGGCAGAGGATGGATTGCTGGCTTTTGCAGATAGGCTCCTTGTGAATTCGGCTAATGAGGAAACCGTTGTATGGAAAATGAGAGAAGAGAAGATGATCGCCTAGGTCTAGTTCATGCCAGCTGTTTTCGATGGCAAGACAATGACCATTTCTTTTCTTTTCTGTCTTGGATTTGTCCCCACTATGATACTATACATAAGTAAAAAGCTCTATAGACGACCACCGGCTCTTACTCGAGCAGTCTAGCGTGCAATGCTGTCATATGCCTCTATTAGATTTATCCAGGATCCAGATCCCGGTGGCCAGCTCATGCCAATACTGCATGTAGGGTGTACAGCACTATATGCTGGGAATCGAAGAACCGAGTACTGCAGTTTCCCATCTTCTGGGTGAAATTATGAGAGACACTACAAACAGTCCAACTCATTTGGCTGCCCTGAATATGCAGGCTACCGTGGAATACCTGGATTTCCGCAGACAGCCATGATCCAAATCCCCCTAACTTACATTTATTTCACATGGTTCATGCGAGAGCAAAAGGACATGTAAAATAGTCTCACATTTTCCCCATTTCACATTGGTCAAGAGATAAGTGCTAATATGCTCATATTAGAGGACCTACTGCATGATACGAGCCCATCCCACGATGATCCATGTCGGCCCCAATATCACCCACTTCTATACCGAAACATACGTGGCTGACCCAGGGGCCCGTCACCAAATTGGAACTCCACAAACATTCAAGTAGCGCAATAAACAATTGTGAAAAATAGTCCTCGGCGCTATTACCTCGGATTACCATTTCTATCCTCGAATGACAATAAACCATGAGATGACAATCGGGGAATACGTCGCGCTGGTCTGTCGCATCTATGATTGCCGACGAAGTATACGACAGAGGTGCAGTGGGGAGAGATGAGGAGGTCCATGGCGGTGTTTCAAAATTTTCACGGTCAAGGCGATTGGACAAATAGACCCAGGTCTGACGTGGGCTCAAATTGAGGGTATAATTGAAGAGTATATTGAGGTACTACCTATCAACGACACTTGATGACCTTGGGCAAAATACCCAACAGATTACAAAAGCATGAGATTAATCTCTTTCTGAAATGGGCAATGATGAATGGAGACTATCGGTGCCTCAATGGCCTAGAATCAGTTGGCAAGACTCGTGTTCCACCAAAGTCCAAATGATCTTGATGTCCTCAGGATGCGAACATCGTCGCTTTCTGTCACTATTGCTGAACCAAGGCCGTGAGTTTAATTGGTGGTGGTGCTTGATATATGTATTCATTCGTTGTCATATCCAAATTGTCATTTCAGAACTCCATCTCATCCTTGAAGAATCTTCCAAAATGCCAGATCAAGTTTTGGGCCAACCGTACCAGATCCATGTCTTCTTTCGGCCACAATCTAATCTTCGTGTGAACTCCGACAAGGCTGGGGTCTCGGTCTTCCCCATTATACCCCAATGTCGAAGATTTTGTGCTCCAGAGATTGACCTATGTTCCTGGTAGCTCCCCTGAGTACAACTCATGACAATTCTTGTCACTCATCATTGAGCATAATTAGTAGCCTCCGGCATCTGGGCCTGCGTTGCAAGGACCCTTTACACTGGGGTTTATCCTGATACTTACTCAGAACAGTAGATCATTGATTAAACAATAGTGAATGAGTAATTCGGACAAACAGAGTCGTCTAAAAAGAAGCTAGCTTTCACTCCCCAAATTCTACTTTAAGAGCAGGAGATCATTGATTTCACATTTGACATTCCATTTAAGAAATCATAGCATGGAGCCGGTAGTCACCAAAGGGTAATCTTTCAAGGAGCCCTTGAGTCCATGAATATGTTCACGAACTACGGAGTTGATATAGTGTTCTTCCGGTTCGAAATGTGTTTCTTCTAGTGCAGCCTGCAACTTCTTGGGCATTCCTATAGGAAACCCTTTCCGTTTGCAGAATGTGACGAGGACAGGATCGATGGAATTATTCCTTTCCATGTTCCGACATAGACAACTACTATATCGTCCAGTCTAGACTTATAGATATAATTCACAGATACTGATAATTATATTCTTCGCTCAAGCTTATAACAAAAAAAGGGTATTGAATATACACAAAAGTCAACAAACCACCAAACAGATATCACCGAATCCCACTACCGGTGGTAGTAAAATATAGAAACATAGAACGTAGGACATAAACCATGAACATAAACGGAAATGGTATATAACCCACAAATTAGAGCTTACCGAGGTCAACGCCGGCAACCTTGAGCGCAGCACCAACATCCAACTTGATGTGCAGTTTATTTGCAGCCAGCGCCTTGGTGAAGTACGGAATTTCCTTGCCGTTATACACGCTCGATTTGCCGCTGATGTCGAAGGGAACGACACCGTCTTTGTAAGGGTTATTCTTTGATAAGAGCAGAGTGATAATATGTGCTTGGTCGACTTCACCGATCAGTGATACGGTGTTGTTACCGGGCTTGAGGACTAGGTCGTTCAGGTAGGTTGTTCCGACTGATCTGCCGTCTAGTTCGAGGTTTAAGGTTACATTGCCCTGTTTTGTGTTAGTTGTGTTGTGATATAGGCAGGAAGAGTATTTACCATTGTGATGGTCATGACAGAGGGATTGGGGATGATGGCGGTGCCGTTCATGCCGATATTGGTCTCCTTGTCCGGTGGGTAGATGATGTTGAACTTGGGTACGTCGAAACCCTTGAGTCCGTTCAGCCCTGTTTACTCAAGTTAGAATATTTCCCATACTAGGGTCGAGTTTGGAAAGAAGAAAGGAATAACATACCCTTCATAACAACAGTTTTGTTATAAGTAACCGTGGTCTTGGGCAGACCACCCTGCTTCAGAACAGGTCTTCCATAAACATTCAATGAAACCTCCTCATTCAAAATAACGGCAGAGTTATAGTCATTGAATGCAGAAGCATCCGACAGATCAACGCTCTGCTCGAAGTGAAGCTCGGCCCCGTCCTTAGACTTGACAGGGGGAACAGCGATATGAGCAAAAGGCTCCGCCGCGCCGGCCAGCGAGATCACAGAATCGAATCCGTAGATCTGGGGGTGGAAAGCGCTGTCCGTACCGATGACTTGTCTCTGCTCAAGGTGGAAGGATTCGGGTGTTGGGTTGGTGATGATCATCTCTGTAATATCGAGGGTCGAGTCGGTGATGCCTTCTTGTGCGATCTTAGGATAGGCGACGTAGACACTAGCAGGGCAGGTGAGTGGAATGTTCCGTTTGGCGTATGGTCAAATTATTTCCAAAGATGGTGCACTTACACCGGCAGTAGGATAATTAGGAAACAGGCGATGAATATAATCAAGTGCACCCACCACCATTTTTTGAAATGGGCAGCGAGGCGGGCACCGAAGCCTCTCTTGACTGGTGTCGGGCTCACGTGGGATTCCTCCTCTACGACTGAGGCCTTTGTGGTCGACATCTTGGTACTATGATTTTATTAGAGACTGTCAGAGGCGTTTTGAAGATATATAGACATATATACATACCGAGTCGGGCACCTAGAGAAAAGAGAGCTTCGAAGAAAAAGAACGAATGTAAGTGGTACAAGCACTCTGAAATAGCGTGGGTAGTAGTCTGTACTTTATAATAAAAAATCTAACAGGCAAAATGAATTGACAAGGTATATATTCTAGCGTCACATGTATTATGCAGGAAAAAAAGCCACTAAATGCCATCCGAAAAGGGGAAAACTCTTCCCTGCTTTTCATTTCCTTTTATCTAAATATATATACGGAGAATATAAGTGTGGTATTAGCGTCTGGGGAACCCCGGGGTTCCGAGGAGACACGATCATCAAATCTGGTGTGTATAATGTTTCAAGTTAATGTCTAACCATCACCACATGCCTGAAGATCAGAGCCGAGGTGGACTAAAATACCATAAGAATTCTAATAAGCGGGATGCGTCGGGACGGGTGCATCTGTCCTACCAGAGCGTTTCCTATATGCTGTGTAAGATTTGGGGGACTTTAAAGAGATACTTTTATGGAGCACCATTTCACTAGCGTATTACATGAGGGTGTTCATTGGTAGACAGTGAGACTAGCAAGATAGCGTGTTGCCAAGGGAGGCGACCCTGGATGCAAGGACTGTGCCCGTATTCAGAGAGGTTTTATACGCAAGTACGGAGTACGGAGAGCAAGAACAGCCGAGTCAGGCCTAATCCCCGGTAATATCCCCGCTAATCCCCCGCTAACATCAAAGCCGCCAGTGTCCTTTAGGGATTAAACCCGGAGGACCAGTCTAGACGATCTAGGCGTATTTAGGTCAATGCTCCGAAGGCAAAAAGCCGGGGAACAATGCGGGGGTCAGGTGTTGAGAAATTGGAGAATCCTTTAAAGGTTTGATTTACTATCACTAGGTAAGGAAATCCTTCAAAATAATACACTTGATTCTGTCATGAGTTCATGAAGTCGCCACACTGAGGCATCGAGCAAAATATGAGAGAAATTGTCCAGGGGATCAAACCCAAGAAATATAACCAAGAAGAGAAAGGATGTGCCGTGAAAATGAAAAAAAGAAATCGGCAAATGGGAAGAAAAAAGGGTATACACGGAGAACTGAAGTATTAAGCCTGCGAGACACGTGAACCACCCCCGGTCCATGCTCGAAAACAGCTGCCCAGGCGGCTCGGAAAGGTAAAGGAAAAATTTAGACATGTGGAAAGGAATGTAAAGTCGACGGGAAAAGCGAATAAAACAAAGATCGGCTGGGAATGTTCCAAACATATTGCAAAATGCAAATTGAAAGGTTGGTGCACCCTAAAGAGAACGCATCGAAGCAAAAGGAAAAACGGAAAAAAAAAAAAGATGAATAAGAAAAGACAGGCTATGCCTCTGGGACGATGGATTTCTTGCGTTGGAAGATACTGCGAGTGCGGGACTTGCTGCGCGGCTTCTTGTCCTTCTCTCCGCTGGCATTTCGGCCACGGGAGCGTGAAGGGGCGTCGGTCTCATTGTATTTGTCCTTGTAGATCCTGGATATACGTGTTAGTAAGGTTGATGGGGGATGTGACTACTAGGAAGAACGTACCAGCTGTTTCCAACCATGCTCATACCCTTAGACTCAGCCTGGCGATAAAAGCGTGCCGCCTTCTTCATGTCCTTCTTACAGCCAACACCCTCCGCATAGCAGAATCCAGCTTCGGCCATGGCATCAACATCGCCCCATTGACCGGCGATCTCAAAGCAGCGCAGGGCAAGAGACTTGTCCTGCTCGATACCCCAACCATTCAAGTAGCTGACACCCAATTCATAAATGCTCAGAGCAAATTGAACTCGGTAGGCCTTTTGTAATTCCTTCGCCTTCGAGGCACCAGGGGCATCCGGATTGGCCAACATTTCCAATCCGACGGAATCCACAGCTTTGCGTAACCATCGTACGCCCTCCTTCTCATTAGACCGCATTCCCCAGCCATGTCGACAGGCCAGCGCATAAAGCAGCATTCCCGTCGGATGGTCCTGTTTCGCGGCAACCCGCAGATGATACGTCGACTCGCTCAGTGATCCTCGCTCATGGCATTCAATGCCCTTGGCGACGTGGTCGTCGGCCGTGAGGCCAGAAGCTGTCACTTGGGCTGTGGCAGTTTGAGGTCGCATGGTGCTGGCCGAATCCGCAGAAGAGACAGTTTCATCTTTCTCGTTGATCGTCTGTTGGGTGCTCTCAGCAGAGGGCCGTACCGGCTCTACTGGCGAGTCGGGCACAGGTGGAGGTGGGGCTCGTTGAGACTTGGGGGTTTGAGGTTGAAGTTGAGGTTGGGGTGGAGATTGAGGTGGAGATTGGGGTTGGAATGCCGGAACCTCGTGCATGGAGTGAGGCTTCGGTGACTGCTCCAATTGTCGATGGGGTGTAGGGGATGGTGTCCGGGTCATCCGCGGTGGCTCCTCTGAATTCCGGGGAGGCGTTTTCTCAAATAAGGGTTCGTTCCATTCGAAATGAGGCGTTTGCAAGCCCGCAAATACCACGGAATCCCGTGAAAGGAAACGTCCACGCGGAAGCGCATACTTAGCGTACACGTAAGACGAGACCGCGGACGACGGATCGCCATCCATGCCTTCTATTGCAGCAACATCTTCGGTCGAGAGTTGCAAAACAAGGGGAGTCGGCTTGCTGCGACGGGACATGTTGTTCGATGAAGAGCCAAGAATCGGGTCGGTAGGCGTCGAAGCCCCAGGAGCAGACAAACTCGTACTCGAGCGACTCAGCGGCCGAGAGAAATTGAAAGAAGGGCGGGGTAGGTGATTCCCCCCCGTACCCGATGTCTCCGAGCTCATGGATGGCGATCGAGGATGTGGTCGTGCGGGGAATGTCGACATGGGAGAATATGGCAATGACACAGCACTTCCAGAGGACAGCTTGCGAGGTTTGGAGAACGTCGACCCACCATTAGAGCTGCTGTAATCATCATCAGAACTCTCAGGGTGTGCCACTTTCGCACTGCTGGATGGGCGCGACCGCGGTGACACCGGTGGTGCCAAGGTACGTGGGATGTCCAGTCGAGAAGATGATGAATCAATCGATGAACCTTGCGGCTCAGCAAGCGCCGTACCAACAAGTGCATCATCCGCTTCACTTGCGTGTGACACGACGGCTTCTGGTGACTCGGCGCGCGGCATCCCATATGCCTCCGACCCAGTGTTTAACATCGTTGTCCGTGGTGTCGCATTATCGTCATCCTCGTAATAGCTAGCCTCGGTTCTAGCATTGGATACGGAGCTGAACCGAGGATGTTCGGAGACAGGGCGGTACTTGGGCTCTGCATACTCCGGGAGTCCCTTTTGCGTGGGTTGGCGGGTCAGTTCGGTGCGGGTTTCAGTTGACGACTTGGAGCGGCCGAAGCCTGGGCGGCCTTGGGAAAGTGATCGAGCTACACTCGACGGTGGCAGCCGACTCATGCGCCGGTCGCCTTGTCGAGATTCATCGAGTTGTCGGGCCAGGAATCGACTCTGAGCGGCGAATGCGTCTAGAGGGGAAAGTGCGGGAGGAACTTCGCCGTCGAAATGCGCTACCCGCGGCGAGGACGTACCGCTTCGGCCGCTCCGGCCGCTCCGTAGGGTATCGTGAGATATGGAGCGACATTCGCTCAGTTTCCCTCGCATGTCCATGATGAATATGTAGATATGAAATGGTTGGCTATTGAATCATTTATCCTGAATCGGTTGGATCCTTTGATATTTGCGCAGGAAGCATCGGAGTAGTAAGTTGGCGTTTCCGAAAGGTAGACAAGACAACAAAGGGGGGGTTAGGGCGGGGAGGCAATATCATAGAGCCAAAGGAATGACAGCCCTATAAACACCAATCGAAGTAAGGTAAGGGATCAAGGCAGAGTAAGATGAGAAAGGAGAAAGAGGGAAGGGGAAAAACGCCGACGATCATAGATGACAAGGTAAACAGAAGCGTCCCGTGCACTAAAAACAGTTTACTCCACCAGGTCTCGACGTTTGACAAGGGGATCGTCTCAGGGGGAGAATTGTTCAGGGGGTCGCCAAGAATAACACTCAAGTTGCATACTCCCTAGGTCTTGTTATTGGCTATTATCATTCTATTACTCAAGTAATAGTTAACTATTGATATTGATACAATAATTTTATGTACAACATAGTATACAGAATTGTTATGACCCGCTATCTTCTAGAATCCCAACAGTTCCCCTGCCGTCTCTCCCCACACAGGAGGTTTCATCATTTCTGAAGCACATGCATGGACATGTTTTTTTAGCACTATGACACCATTGTCTAGTCATATACTACATTAACCTTGAAAATTATGGGCTAACTTTCCACAGCATTGAGAAGTGAAACCATCCCCTACTTATATTACACGAGAGCGGATACACTCTAAAATGGCTCTAAATAATTATTAGAATAGACATATAAATGCGCTCTCCTCGGAATCGTTTGCTAATTTCATTTTTTATGTTATAGCACTCCAACATAACACTGCCAGGAGATGAAAGGACAATATACGCGGCCTTTGATTCAACCATGGTCCGTGTTATCCACTATGCCTATTTGGGAAAATTGACACATATTACTCATCCCACGGCCCCGGAGGTGGCCTGAACTCTATAAGGATATAGACTCAAACGCGATACCACTTGTGTAATAGTTATAACCCAATTTAATAAACATCTAGGTGAAATCGTCCCAGTGTGTAGTTGACACCGCAAATATTATAGCGAAGGTGGATACCGAGGCAGATTGTCTCTGACGGATCACTTGGTACATTGCACAACCGGGACAGTCTGGAATTCTCTTGTAAATGCGTATTCTGTGGCTCACGAAACGTATGTCAACTCTTGGAATGACTGGGTAAAATCCAGCGGCTGGTCGGGACTCGTCACGACAAAACTGAAGCCGTATGTCCGCGAGTTATTCGAGCTTGGCATCGATGCTGTGTCCGAAAGCATCATGTGCAGGCTTAGTGCCTGGAATGAGCTTGCGCAAGGCAGAGAGCTCGGCATTTGTGCTGGAGATCCCTACGATCCTGGTGCCAATCCTGAGTTGTGCTCTGGTGACAACGAAACTGGGGGCCACATCAAGATATATTGCTCAAACTGACGGATATCATGGATATTTCCCAACTTCGGTCCCTTCAACTTCATGGGTTATTCGACTCGGCCATGCTTGCACAGGTGGCCACGCTCTCGCCCAACCTCGAGCAGCTTTTTCTCATCACATATGGACGTGGTTGGGATTTTCCAGATCCCAATGGTGATCATAATATTGGAATTTCCGCAATACTGGCATTCTATCCCCTGCAATATCTCCATCTTAGTGGCATTCGCAGCACTTCCTCTTTGAACCAAATTACACAGCGCCATGGCCCTTCTCTAAAGGATCTTATCATTGAACCATTTACTGGGCTTAGGGGAAGGATAAACAAGGACTATCAAGGGTATAAATATCCAGAACTTGATGCCTTTAGCTTAAGTCAGCTAGCCAAGCCTTTTCTTCAGCTAGAAGAGCTACGTCTTCCGGTCAGAAGATCTATGGGCAATCAAGAAGAGTGCGAAATTTACCAGGCCGTGGCGAGCTTTTCAACCCTGTGGAACCTGCGCATCATGCCTTTTGGTCTGGATTACCTCCCAAATGACGAAAGTCGGCTCCTTGATTGGTTTACTCGTTCGTTTTTGATCACACGCTACAATTTTCAAAACATGGGGGTGCCGACTATTAGGGAAATTAGAAATGGAGAGAAAGGAAAACAGCATCAGCCGCTGTTTCGAGACTCACCTGAAATATACGTTCCCGAGAGACTACACCAGATTCTTTCTAATGTCTGGCCATCCGAGTCTTGGAATAGTAGCTGGGAGTCGGTACGCAGCAGCTTCCCTTTACGACCTAATACTACTTAAGCTTCTGGTAGTGGCATCTGCCAAGCAAGCGGAATAAGATTCAGTATACGAATACATGTAGCAAGCTTCATAGGCTGCAGAATAAACGAATATGTTACGTATCTAGTTGACAGAGCATAATACAGAACTAGTTTCTAGAGTATCTGTGTGTTCATGCTATATTCTAGGCTGTATCCACCGTAAGGCTCAAGGCATATGCATCCACGAAAGAATAACTCCTGCATCTAGCCCATATCAGGTCTTCCTATACAGTATACGTCCGGGATAGAGCCCATCGTTTGAAATGTCTCGAGTGTCTTAATACAAATGCTGTCATTGAGACTGTCTTAAATCCTGGTCTTGCTCTATATTAGTCCTTTGGGTCAATTCCAAAACTCGCCCCCTGATCCTGATTCAATGTCAATTTCAATCACAAGCCTTAACTCTTTGCAGTGTTTAGGGCGAGTACTTGTGGGGACAAAACGAAGCTAAGGTGAGACTGAGAGCGAAAGTGTCTGCACGACTGGCTCTAGTGCTCGTAACTTAGGCCTAGAGGCACAGAATGATGCGAGGTCACTCTAGACCGCGAGAAACAGCAGACATTAATTTCCCCAGCTCCCATGTGAGCATCTAGATCCTAGTTCTCTGTTTGTCTGAAGTACTACATGTACACCTGGAGTTCATTCTTCTTGCTTGTTTGCTTCTTTCGCTTCAATCCTCCAGTACCTCAAAATCGCAAGGGACGAAACAACATGTCTCGACTCTCACTAACGACTCTCTTCGGAGTTAACCAGGCTACCGATGACAAGCACCACTTTGAGACGTCTTGGATCTTACCCCCTGCCATCCTTGCCGGACTTCGCGGTCTGATCTCATTGTATATCTTCACCTCCATCTTCATCTTCTGGGGCTGGTATGGCACCAACGATAGCCACGCTTCAATTGGTCAGTCCTTCAGCTATTTTACCTGGCTATCCTACTGGGGTGTTGGCTTCTACATGCTATTCGCTGCCATCCATACAGCTTGTTATGCACGAACGGGTCGCTCGGTTCTCTTCGACCGCTGGCCGCGGGCTTTTCGCGCACTACACAGCTTATTGTATGCGACAATCACAACGTACCCATTTCTCGTTACGGTTGTCTTCTGGGCTGTCATATTCACTCCACCATGGTATAAGACGGCCTTCGCCGGTTGGCAAAATGTACGTACCATCTTCAATTTTACCTCTATGCTTCCTTTTCGATGTATCCCCCGCGGAAGAAACTGGTCTCAGTCAGTCGGATCCGGTCCAGGACAAGCATCTAGGCACTCCATTGACATCTCACAAGCTCTCCCGGAAAGCAAAACCGAATCAATATAAGCAACAGTTCAAGCTAACCTCCCGATTCCCCAGATCTCCCAACACGGCCTTAACTCTGTCTACGCCCTACTGGAAATCATCATCCCAGCCACAGCACCGCATCCATTCATTGCAATCCCATTCCTACTCATCATCCTCCTGCTCTACCTCTGCGTCGCATACATCACGCATGAAACCGAGGGCTGGTACCCGTACTCCTTCCTCGACGCTGGTAGCCACGGACAGAAGAGCAAGCTTGTGGTGGGATATTGTTTTGGCATCTTGGCTGCGGTTCTGGTGTTCTTCACCATTTCCTGGGCGCTGGTTCAATTGCGCTGCCGCCTGACGCACGGAAGGATTAAACGGGCTAGACGGGATCCGCTGTGCGCGCACGATGCTTTTGGTGGTGTTGTTGGGGCGAGTGGTAATGATCAATCAAATGAGATGAAGCCTGTGTCGGGTTTGGAGGCGGCGATGAGTCGATTTTCTTCTTCTGGAGGAAATTGCCTGGTTGGGTAAGGATGGGGACGGTGCTGTGTAATACAATGATATCCTATCAAACGTTAATCTAATGATTGTGTCTATGAGGTGTCATGTAAAACTGTGTGACGATCTGAATAATAAAATCAAGCGAGCAGGGTTATTAAGAGCGAAGAGTATTTCGAATGGTATTATGTACAGAAAAGCATTATTCAAAGCGAGTGCTTTTGATATATTAAATACGGCAATGCCATGAAGGAGATGTGTCAAAATATAGTACACGAGCTTAAACTCTCTCCCAGCTAGTTTCACTGCCGCTGCCACTCGGGGTCTCCGGGTTCATCCCATTCCCACTGCGGTAGCCCATCATCAGCGCCACGAGTCCACTAGGAACCCAGGCCCCGATCAGGCTGTACGACCGGGCTCCCCGGCCCACATACATGACAGATTTCTTGGACACTTTCCGGCCGAACATATCCCGCGAAGTTGGCTCCAAAGCATCCAAAATAGCATAATGAAGGTTCCGCGCCGGAGATCCACGTATTGTGCTAGGACCAGCAGAGGCAACGGGGCGCTGCTCAACGCTGGACAAATACTGTGAGGCATATAGAGCTCGTTGCTGGGTACTCCACGCGAGGACTTCTGTGCCTGCAATCTGGCTCTGGCCATTCCGGTATGTAGGTCCTAGGTCAATGTTGCCTAGCTGTAGCTCAACGACATCGACATTGCCTTGTTCGAGGAGACGAAGTTCCTGGCGAAGTGACGCTGCGAAGCCTGAGACTGCTCGGGCGGTGGCGACTTCGGGTCCAGCAAATGGTGCGGAAAGAGAAGATGATATGGAGGGGTAGGCGAAAACAATAGTGCTACTATTGCTACGGAGGGTCAGCAGAGGGAGGAATGCCTGAACTGTGAGGATAGGCGAGAGGAGACGGGTGTTGACCGTGTCGGCCCATGATGACGGCGGGATGGTTGCCACAGGGCCTGCGCTATAGTTGGGCGATGGGACCACGATAAGGCCGCTCAGTTGGCAGGTGTGCGGAGGCACTCCTGCGATAGGTGACTGTGCCTGGGTGATCAGGGAGCGAAGCTCTTGCAACGAGGGATGGATTTCAGACGGCGAGGAGGATGTCTAGTTTAGAATGTTAGTTGAGTTCCGCCGTATAAGGGATACAAAAACAGCACTTACAGTTGTAAGGTCCAACCAGAGAGCCTTAATGTCGACACGATTCTCGGACTTGACGATTTGCTCTTCATCCGAGGAAGAAACAGTCACATATACAATATATCCTCGACGTTCCAAATCCATGGCAATAGCCCTTGTCATCGGCTCATGTGGCGATCCTGCAACAACTATGATCGCATAATTAGCATTCAGATCCTAGTGCAGATCAAATACAGGCATTATGACGCATACCAACAATCTCTTTTCTTGCGCCGTTGCTCGCCCTTTTGGCCTTTCTCCGTTTTCCGTGTAGCTTCTTGTTTCCATAGTATAAGACAGCACCGGTTCCGATAAATGCGAGGATGGCCGCCGACCATGCGCGATTCCGAGCTATCCAGCTTTGGATCCGGTCCGTTAGGCCTTGCGATGACCGCATTTTCGGGGAACGACCTGGGCGAACAGTGGGCGGTAGCCATGACTGCTGGGCCAGCGTATCCTTGATCACATGTGCAGCATGGTCGACTTGTCGGTCAATAGAGTCGGCGACTTCGAGGGAATACCGCCTTACGTCATGGGGTATAGACGAGAGCTGGATGAGGAAGTATCAGCGCCGAAGGCTTTCCTTGTCGCTTTCCATAATACTCACGTAGTCAAAAAAGAACTGGTCGTCGCTGGTCATCTTGTTTATTTGAGAACAAGCTGGAAAGAAAAAGAAAAGCGAAAGTTCGATAAGATGGATGCTGATAACACTCTCGGTGTTATCGGAAAGGTCACATGAGCAGTGCTTTGTACAAACAGTCGAGGGCGAGTATACAAGACTAGCCTTACATTTTACATATTAATCTTTGTTATTTGGGTACTGTTTTCCATCGGAAGTCGTTAGAATGCAGCAGACTTATTTTTTTGCAACTCACTTATTGTGTTAATTTGGGATATTGTCAATATATATATTTAGACATAACGAGACCACGGCAAACACGAAATCAAGCAAAAGTGATCTAATGGTTCTCATACAGTATTATCTAGGAATGTTGCAATCCAAATTTCATTTAAGATTCCCTCTATTACCACTATACGTGATTGGAAGGCATGCATTTCGTCAGGACTAACTATGTAGATTCAAGGCACGTGACTAAATATTTGGCCTGATGTATCAGGCGCCAAATGTGTGCCTTGCTTATGCTAGAAGGCCATCCATGGAAACCCGAAACTTGGAATGATTCTAGAATTTCCATCACTGGCTATGTTCCTTTGACTGTTCCTGGCTACCTGCATCGCCATATCTGTAATGTCATCATTTGGGCATGCTCAGATGTGAAATCTTCTCGTTCAGACCCTCGCCTCGGAGGAGGCCATCCCAACGAAGGCAGTAACATCTCATTTATTCGCGGCGTCCTGTTTTACTATACTGTCCAAGTTCTTGATCAAAAATCTCGAAAATGCGCGAGCTAGACCCTCTAATCTCAGAATACCGCCATGAAAAGAAACGCCCCCGGGAAGCCGAGGCCCTCTTGATCCTGCGCAAAGTCGCATCCTTGGTTAAACCGATCATGCGACAGCGTGCCTGGAGAGTGGGTGCGCTCTGTGAGTTCTATCCGCAGCAGCGAAACCTGCTGGGGCTGAATGTCAACTCGGGCCAGAAGATTTGTCTGAGATTACGATATCCCTCTGACCAACGGCAATTTCTCCCTATCGAGGAGGTTCTGGATACTATGCTTCATGAGTGAGTTATTCTACGTCCTAAATACCCCACAATACAAATTCTGATAAAGTTTAGACTCTGCCACAACGTGATTGGTCCTCACAACCAGCAATTTCATGCGTTGTGGAATCAACTTCGTGATGAGCATGAGGAACTAGCCCGAAAAGGCTACACCGGAGAGGGCTTCTTATCTCAAGGAAAGCGTCTGGGTGGCCAAAGAATTCCGCTCGATGAAGCTCGACGTCAAGCTCGTGCTGCTGCTGAGCAGCGAAGGGTTCTTGCCAAAAATTCCGGCAAAAAGCTTGGCGGCACCCGCGTGCTCCGAGGAACAGATATACGGAAGCTTCGGGCTGACGCTGCGCAGCGGCGAATTGAAGTAACTCGGGGCTGTGCATCTGGAACTGATCGAAGCACCGAGCTTGCGGAAGAGGCCTCGCATGGGTTCAGAACCCAGGCCGAAGAAGACGACGCAAACGAGCGGGCTATAATGGAGGCATTTATTGAACTAATACAGGAAGAAGAAAGGGAGAAATATGAATCTTCTTATGTCCCGCCAAGTCAAGAAAACCCGGCAGGACCTCGAACAAAATCGTCACCGCCACCTACTGCTTCTAACACCCCGCCTGCTATCTCTGAAACTCTGCCTGCGCTTCCAAAAGAATCCTCATCATCAAATCGCAATGAATCTGTTGATCTTATAGCCGACAACAGCTCATACGAGACACCCTGGATCTGCCCAATGTGCACACTCGAGAACCCGTCTACCTTCCTGTGTTGTGATGTTTGTGCAGCAGAACGACCACCTCCGACCAGTACGCTATCCACATCCACCTCTGGCCGAAATTCTACCCAACCGGTGCAGTCGGAGTCACGAAACTCGCAGAAAAGGCCTTTACCTCTTGATCAAAAGGAGGATAAGGAAGCGAGTCTCAGGAGTGCATTTGTTTTCAAGAACCGAACCCGTGCACTGGATACCCTCAAATCCTTGGACCGGGGTGCAGATAAGAAGCCTCTTGGATGGGTTTGCATCTCGTGTAGCAGCTTTATGGAAACCCAGTGGTGGACATGTTCTTGCTGTGGGACAATGAAACCGTCCTCTTGATCAAATCTCGAGATGTTTCACCACCACGTACCTTACACAGGGACCCATCATTTATGAAATTGATACCAGTATGACGATGAATATTGATTGAATATTAAATATTTTACAACTTTCCATACAAATTCCGAATCCACTACCCCTGGGTAGAGCCTAGCCCCTTACAAAAGTAACACGTGACTAACATGACTAAGATAGCTCCACCAGGCCAAATTTTCTCACAAAACTCCAAAGCAAACTCTTTCCTCTTCTCCAGCTCCAACCAACACCAAAAGTCCAGCGTGGACCAAAGCCAATAAATGAGATTGATTTCGGTCCATGCTGGAATAACCCATTAATAGGTATGTGGTACTAAACTCCCCTGACAGGATCAGTGAAGAACAACAAGTATCGCACCAAACAAACTCTATCATGATGAGATTCGCATTAGAACCGGAATTTTTAATAGGAAGAGCCGGAAGAGGTATGGCAGGGGCTAAAATCCCTGTCGTCGATGCTTACAATGGTTCTCCTGAGTAGAGTCTTTGATCCTTGTTGTTTCTTTTCTTGGTTCTGGTCTTGGAACAATCAACGTGTCGTTGCTTGGAGTAAATCGCTAATGATGTCTCTTTGCAATACAGATTTTGGATTCTTTTTCGGTATTATCGACTGCTTGGATTGTTGGTGTGGGAGAATATAATAGCTAGATCAATTGAATGAATAATTCCATTACTTTGTATTACTTGGGTTTATGAAAATTCAGTAGACAATTATCCCAGGGAAATGATTCTATTTACTTCGAAATTGAGCTATCATACATCCCTTAAATTCTCTTTCAACTCCCAAGGATATAAAACTTTTATATGGAACACAGACAGAGAAGACCTTCCAAGGTAACAAGGTCGAAAATGATCACAACGCCAATAGACATGCTTGTACACAAATCCTAAACTCAGGCAACGCTAACAAACTGGCGCTTCTTGCCAGTGCCCTTGGAGGTCTGCTGCTCCTCCCAGGTATCCTCATCAACGTAATCTGTGGTACCCTGCTCGCGGATCTGGTTGCCGATAAACTGCAGCGCGGAAAGGTTGAAGCCC